AGTAAATGAAGACATAAGACATGGAGAGGTTTCCTAGTCAAAAATAAAATTTGGCACAAAATGTAGAAATCTTATTATAGTAAAAAATTGTGTATGTATGCGAAACACTATTTGTTCCTGTTATTGTTTGCAGATTCTCTCTAAATCATATTTAATTAAATAACTAGCGATTATTTACTTTTTGTATCACAAAATACTCAGTTTTTTTACGATAATATTATGTATGCAGATACCAATTGTAAAATTATTTCTTTCTGTTCAATAATTAAATGACATTAAATTTTTTATATTAAATTATGTTGTCCAGTGATGAAATATTTTAAATATTTTGAATTTGGAAAAGAAATATATGAACAGTGTAAATAATATCGCTAACATAAAATATGCGTGTACCCGCTGCAGAAATAAAAATTACATAAGAGTCTTAGGCGAGTAAATTCGTCAAAACTATCTTAGAATCTGGTAATGTATCAAGAAGATAATGAGAGGAATCAGCCATTGAGGCCAAGTCTGATTCTAATAATGCCAACTGAAGTTCTCTTCGTGCTTTTTGCACAACATACACCATTAATGAAACACCTATTAGAATCTGAAAATGAAATAAATACATTGGTTATTAATAAGACATATCTTAATTATTATTTTTAAATGAACTCTTACCTGAAAACAGAAGACAATGTAACCAGTTGCTGCTGTTGATCTATCTTCAAGAACATCTTGCATGGACCGCAGACTACTGCCCAAATAAATGTTAATTATTTGAGCTGGTAATAAACCTAATGCACTAGCTAAATGATATTGGATGCCACCCATGTTGCTTACCTAAGTATTAATTTTATTTTATTGTTTTAATTAGATGCATTAATACATATAATGTTAAAAAAAAAAGAAGAAGCAATGGTACATACTGCAAAAATAGTGTTTTGCAGACCAAATGGAATAGGAGTCAATCTTGCAAACAGCACGACTTTGAAAGCCTGTGGTCCAGATATAACTCTGAGTATTGCTCTTGCAGTATCATTTTGTAAGAGTGCGCCAATTGGCAGTTTCGATGACAATACACTAAGAGTAACATGTGCTATGGCTATTCCCAAATTAGCTGATAATACCACCATCATAATACCTCTTAATATGCCGAAAAGATATCCACTGGCTATAATAAGGAATAGATAACCAATCACAATGGGAAATGAGACCACCGTGAACAAGGCAATAAATATTATAGTGACTATCCATATGTTTTGATGTTCAATCCAATAAAGCAGCACTTTGATGTAGTCTCTGCAGATGAAAACTATTGCTCCCAAGAGAGCCAAAGTAGTGATCGTTACAACAATGTAACATATCGAATTTGAATTTATGCAATTGCATTGTATCGACGAAGAGTTCTTTGATGGTCTAACACTACCTTCTACATCTTCTATATTAATTATGTCCATGGTCGATGCAATTATCCCTCATTATGTACAAGGAAAAGACTACTTAATTATCATCCTCCTGGTACAACCTACTTGACAAACAAATACAGAACTTATAGATTACATCACCTTATCTCAGTTTTTTTATTAGTACTTGCAAGTGGATATACTACATACACATTACTTTTTATAGTAGCGAAAATAAAGCCATTGAATTATACCTACATAATCATTTTGATTGAGATGGAAAGAAAGTTTCGTTTTTCCGTAAGATTGAAATGAATATATATGAAAAGAGAAACAACTGATATTAAATTGGTTGCTTCAAGAATATGTTACAATTTTTACATAAAATTACTTGTTTTCATTATTTGTTAATGTGAACATTCTACGAATAAATGTCATTCAAACGGTACGATTGTCGATTAGTCGTACGTAATTATTTTATTTATTAAATCAACGAAAATTTATACAAATAATAAACAGGTGTGCAAATTATTTTTACCTTGTGACACTATCATAATAAAGAATCTCTTAAATTGTTCTTCGTCGTTTCTTTCATCACTGCTTTATACAAACAGTAGATCGATTCTTATTCTTCTTTTTCGTATCACTGCACATTCTTATGGAAGAATATAATGGATTTAAAATAAAAATACAAATCATATAACCGCGTTAAATACGGAATATGTAATTGAAATCCGTTTACGTTTCCTGTTCTCAACGAACGGTATAGGATGATGTCAAAGGTACGATAACATTTACATATTACATACAATGTTTCGTAAATTTGTTCTTAGAGGGTGGCTATTCTCGCTAGTTTTCTAATAATCTTTGTCATAGAATTATGTTCCTAGCAGTATCGTGAGCAGGAATTAACAGCAGAAGGAATTAGGAGCATTTAGGGACTTTATTTTGGTAACAAAATGTCGGATCAAGCGCCAATGAATTTACCTCGCGTTTGTCCATCTACATTTTTATTTTTCCGTAGTTCATCAACAGTCGTAGTTCGGCTCGGCTTGTTCCATTCGTTTTTTGGTCCGCGTTACATTACGTCGAATGGATGGTTTCAAAGCGATTTAAGGCGTATTATTCTCGCTATTTTGCGTCAGTACTTATCACGAACAAAATACTAAAGTCGTGGGATCATCGTTGACGAAGGTAAGTAGTTGTAATCACGTTGAACACGCCAAGAAGCAACGTCGATGTTTTATCGGCAAATAGTAATGGCTGCAATGCGACATTTAATATAATTTCTTATTTTTTCCTGAAACGCGCACCGCTTCAAATTATACAACGTTTTAACGAATTAATCAATATTCGATAAAATTTCACGTCCAATTCCTTTGGCGTTCATAGTTGGTAAAGCGTTATTGTGCTACAAATATGTAAGAAGTTTCAGGAGTATTTGGTCAAATTGTAACGATTCGAGTTAATTGTTTTGCTTTCGTTCAGACGTACTGCTGATTTGATTTTGATAAACACACTTTTTATAGTACAAAGAAGAAACAAAATGGAACAGGAGTCGAGGCGTAAGGGGCCAAGAAGTCCAAGCGCGGATTCAGAAGATTCTACTCATAGAAGGAGGTCTAGGAAATATGACAGATCTCCGTCTCCAAGAAGAAGCAGATATCGTCGATCTCGTTCTAGGGACAGAAGGTCACGTTCAAGTTCCAGAGATAGAAGAAGAAAGGAGTCCAATCGTTCCCAACAGGAATGGAAGCAGCAGACATCTCAGTCTCAAGCTTCTACTCCTAATCCAAATTCTGGTGCTTATGTGCCAGCAGTTCATAATCAATATCAGGTAAAATCTACTCCGAATCCTAAGCAAAGAGTTAATTAATATTTGTTTTCTATATAAAAAAGTTTCATTTACAACAGGCACCTCCACCACCAAACACAAGTCAGCCACCTCCACCCATACCAGCTTACAATCAGGGTTACAATAATTACAATTACAACTATGGACAAAGCTACGACTACAGTTACCAACAACCTACCGGTTATCGCAGTGTAAGTTTAATAGAAAGAATTTTATTTGCAAACATAGTATGTACTATGTACAAGAATCTTATTTTGCATTGATTCAGATTGCATCGCGAACAAAGCAATGCAATTAAGTTCTACTAGCTGCAAGGAATTCTTTTAATATTTCGTAGTTGCTAGTTTCATTGCGTCGTATCTGTGAGAGTAATTACAAAATTGTTATTCACGCTGTCAGAGTGTTCTGTACATTGTCTGGCAGTGTTATTAGTTTTTGGGGATGAAGTTTAAGTTTCTTTGTATCGCGAACTGTCGCGAGATCCCGCGTAAGTAAGTATAACACCCGCGTTATTTATTTTATTGGCATCGACATTGGAAACCAGTATTATTGAGCAGATGATTCATCTTGAAGAATCTTCCGTGTATTATCCAAAGTTCTGATTTGAGTATGGACCACCAAAGGTAAGGTTCGATGGAAATACTGTTCCAGTATTTGAGATCAAACGTTTGTTTATTTTGTTAGGATTATCCTCCGCCGAATTGGCAAGGGAATCAGGTGCCATATAACAATCAGCAACCTCCGCCACCGCCAACGTTAACGTCACAGCAAGAATCCTCGAGACCGGTGGACAGTGGTTCCTCTGGATTAGTTTCGTCTATGGCAAGACCAGAAGACGCCAAGAAGGAAGGTGTGTCATCTAATAATTTGCTCTATATCTAGAAACCTACAGTCTGTTTTTTTAAGGAAGGTAACTAATGTTATTATAGTTCCTGTTCATTTCACTCCTATATTGGAAAAATTAGCTATAACGACTTCAGTTATCTTCTTTCGAAAAACAAGTAGCAACAAGCACGTAATATTAAAATTCTTTTCAATTTGATGCCCAGCAGCAATTGCAGCTGAAGTAAAACAGCAAAAAGCGACCTTAGCTAAACAGCGGGAGGAATACGTTAAAAAATCAGCCACGTTGCAACGCGAGCTAGAAATCCTCCGCCAACAGTGTGACGAAATTGGTAAAGAGGGTGGACGGGAAAATAATCGCATTATAAAGGAGAATCAAAAGTTGCAGGTAAGAAACTGCGCTATGTCGTTGTTTAGAGCGAAGCAAAATAATTTGCTGATTTTTGGTTTGCCTATTTTTTTTTTTGTTCACAGATTGAAATACAAAATAAAATGAAGTCGATACATAATGTTATCGATATGCTTACCGGGATAATTGGAGACAAGGCGACCGTCGACGATCTTAAAAGCAAGTTTAAATTAGAAATTAACAAGCGTTCGAGAAGTCCCAAAGAAGATTTCCCGAAGGGGAAATCAGAGACACCGGACAGATCGTCGGGTTCCGATTCTGAAAAGGAGTCCAAAATTGAACGAGAAACGAAAGATCGACGGTCTCCCGAGGACGCTAAACCTATGTACAATTTCGTGCATTACGATCCGGAAATGCACTGGTGTAAAGTCTGCGATATATTTCCTAAAACGGCAAAGGAATATTTGAATCATCTGCATAGCAATGAGCACAAAGAAGCTTGCTTAGTAAGTCGCCTTATCGTTGTCATAGTAGAGCCCGTAGTAAAAGCCTCCTTCGACTTTGGTATATGTAGGTGCTTTTAATCAATTGAATTCAATCCAAATAAAACAAAAACAAAAAAAAAGAAAGAGAGAGACAGAAAAAGAGAGATAAAATCCCGATCGAAGATCGTTTTCATGTAAATAACATTTACAATTATATTAGAACAGGAAGCGGAAATATGTAACTGATAATCGATTTACGTTGTGACTGAACAGACGGATTCGGTTAAAACTATGTATTTCTAATTCGATCTCATATTTCGTGTAAGGATGATATATTACAGTAACGATCGACGTGCAGGTACTTGGTACAAAGTCTGATTGGTGTTACTATACACAATGTCATATTAACAAATTGTACCATTGAGTTCAATTTCTTGTACACGCGTTTTTATTTGTAACAACCTTTGTCCATTAACACGTTCTTCCCTGCAACAGGAACGGAAGATAGTTGATATGCCATGGCATGAGCGGAATGGGGAGGGAACAGAAAAGGAAGTGCCCTATTATCCAGGACTGCCAACGAAAAGAACACCGATCAAAGGTACGGTTCATTTCAATGGATAATTACTAATAGAATACAATTCCGTAGCTTGTGCACAGACACTGTGGTGTCCGGTATGTATTGAAGAAATCTACGGCTATGGTTTGCTCGAAAATTTGTCTGCATTTATTCAAATCTTTGATTCTCTTTCGAACTGTGGGGAACAAAAATGTGTGGGGTCTCTCTCCTTTTACGTGGAAATATATTCACGTTATAATTTTCAATCCATATCCCGCGGAACATTGTTTTTCTTTTCCGTTTTCGGGGAGCGCTTTTGCCCGTGCAAAACACATTGTTGGCAGCAAATTTTGTAGCAACGATGGTTAAACACCGTAGAGATGCACTGGATTTTGAAAGGGACTCGAGCAGCACACTTTCGAGCGATTTCAGACATTTCAGCTTCTATTGTCGAACTGTTTCTCGAATCCTTCGCAAGTGCTATATCGTTCGTCGAATATACATCGTACCTAGGTTGATTTCATGGTCAAGAACGAAACAAAGGAAGGAAGATCCTTTTGTCGATGTGCAAGTATCAGTACAGAGGAATCAATGTTACCATCATAATGATAGTGCGTGTATAAATTCATTTACCGTATTACGTTATACCGAGATGTGTAAACTGTGACAATTCGGTCGTGTTATGTATTTAGTATATCTAATCTTAATATCTATCTATATATATATATACATATATACATACATATACATACATGTTCATGATATAAGACCAGGTACTTTTGTCAAACGTACTACAAATGCTGAAGAATTCGATGTTTATATAAAATGGTAAATATCATTAATAATTTTCGTAATTGATAATTACAAATTAGACTAATATTTCTAAAAGTGTGAACACGAGGCAATTGCGGTACGTACATTTACGTTACTTGATGTAATTCGTTAATTTTTTGCTTTCAATTGTAAACTTTGTTCGGTATAATTGTACAAAAATAAAAGACGAGCTCTTCCCTCTCCTTTATCATTCCTCAGTTTTCTTCTAGAGACCAACGTCGGACCATCCAAGAGATATTTAATGTTGCCAACCATTTATTGAACATCTTTTAATATATTACTTTTTGTTTTCAGTGACATGAATGTGTCGTGGCAGAATATAAGGTCATTCTTTATGAACTTAAATTGTTTACCAACATTCAAAGCTTGAGCGATATTAAGCGTCGGTTCATTTGGTTATAGGTCTGCAGTTCTTCAGCGCTGCGACGGCATGGTACTGCAAGCTGTGCGATTCCTGGATAGGTGATCTTCACTGCGCGAGTTTGCATTTGAAGTCGAAACAGCATTCCGAAAACTATTCCGTAAATTTCTATTTTATTCTATATCACAGCAGAACGAATATTTCATGCATGCTAATACATTGTCGTTTCCTTAGAGTTTTGTGGAGCAAAATCCACACTGGGAGACCGACTGGATGGCAGATCGTGAGAAAGCGTTCTCCGAGGAGAAGCACAAGCAGATACAAATGGAGCTGCAGAAGCACAAAGAGGACGATCCGCCGCCAAAGTCGAAGAAGTCGAAGAAATCAAAGAAGAGCAAGAAGAAGTCGAAGAAACGGCGGAACAGGAGCAGCGGCAGCGACAGCTCCAGCGAGTCCGAGAACTCTGACACAGATTCCGATCAGGACATGTCAAAGAGCATACGCGTAGCCATGCGAAACAAAATGAAAGCATCGACTCAGGCTATCCTCAACGAAGAGATAGACTACCATCGAATCAAATTAAAAGGTCACTGGTCGAAAATGACTCAACACTTGAACCAACCACCAACCCCGGAGCCTCAGCCTGCGGAGACCGATGACAGACAGTTATTGAACTCGATCCGTGATAAATTGAAAGCGAAACAGGAAGAGGAGATGAAATCTATAGGTGGTCGACGGTTGAGCGAAGAGAAGACCGTGGAGGAGGAGGAAGAAGAGCAGGAGCAAACATCCTTCTCGAATAAGACTAAGCCCGAGAGCTTGGAAGCTTGGGGACCGAAAGAGCCGCCCAAGCCATTCTGGATTAAGAAGGAGGAGGAAAAGCCGCAGCCGATCGTTAACAAACCAATCGAGCTGCCGAAGCCAGAAGAGATGCCTAAACCGCACATGGGATTCTGGACGAAACAGCAGGTCAACATGACTGTAAAACCACCGGAGAACAAATCTGTGGAAAAGGAAGATGAGAGGGACCGAGAAAGCGATAGATACAAGGAGGATCGCGAGAGAAAGTACGACAGGCGAGAAGATAAATACGAACGTTACGGTAGATACGACAGAAGACGTGGCCGAGACAGGGATCGAGATCGTGAAAGAGACAGGGATAGGGACCGGGATAGGGATAGAGAGAGGGACAGGGACCGGGATTATTATGATGACCGAAGGAAACGGGACAGCAACGATTCTCCTCGGCGCGATAGAAACTGGCGTGATAGTCCAAAGAGAAACTATGATAAGTACAGCAAAGATAGAAGAGACGATAATTCGTCCAACGATGAGTCCAAGTTCGAGAAGAAAACGAACGAGTCCGCGTCCAAGTCAAAGAAGGGTAACGTGCAGACGAAGAAGTCTGCTCCCCAAATAAGCAAGGGGAAATTGCCTTTCATAGGCAGACTACCCCTGTTCAAGAAAAAAACTGAGGAACCAAAATTGCCCGAGAAGGATATCACGCCGCTCCCGTACCAGCAGAGCAAGTTCGAGGACACGCCGAAGGTTCCGAACGAGATCATCAATCCGCCAGGCGTAGTGCACATCACGAAACTCGCAACTCCCTTAAATCTTGGTAACAGCAATCTTGGCAACAGTAATGCCAATACCAGCATCACCGCTGGAAGCAACGTAAATCCGTCACCGGTCCAAAGCAACAAGAATCAACCGATGAAGATTTTAGTTGCTCCACCTCCGCCGGTGTTGAACGAAGCGAAGCCGACCCAGCAGGTTGTAGATATGGAGATAGAAGATCAATCCGAGGAGACCGTGATAGAGGAGCCGATGATGGAACAGCAGAAACAGACACCGACTATATCCAAGCTACCTCTGCCCCCTCATCCACCTCCGCCCCTAAATAGACCACCACCCACGTTCACGGCTACTCCGCCAACACAACAGCAACAACAGCAACAACAGTCGGGTCAAAGCAGACCTCAATTCTCCCCTAGCAGGCCACCTCCGCCGTTCATATCGAATCCACCGCCATTTGTTCAAAGCCAACCGCGGTTCCCAGCGCATCAACCGGTGCGGCCTCCTGTGCAGACTCACTCGCCATACATGACCAATCCACCTCCGCAGATGCCGGTCGTACCATTTGTTCAGAATCATCAGAATCCACCGCCGCCTCCGTTGCCAACTGTGGAAGGTACTGCACCGGATATCTCTGAGATACCGGAACCGACCGAGAAGCGAACAGACCCGAGCATTCCGCTGCCTGACGACCTGCAAGAGGCTCTGAATATCATTTTTCCTAAAGAGGAAACCGAAACCAAGCAGCAGAGTCATCAGGAGACCAATATCATGTACTCGTCTATGTACAGTATGCTAGGTTGCGTTGGTTACGGGCCAGAATACATGGACCAGCCACCGCCAGAGATCACGCAAGCCGATGCTGAAGTAGACACTCAGCCTGGCCCGGATGATTTGAAAATGTTGGGCATCGACGAAGGGGACACGATCCTATAAAAAATTGTATGAACATTCGGACACGTTCAAATCTGCTCGTTCTCTTTTTGGTAAAAGTTTTGCAACTAGCGGATCCGATTCTGTCAAGTCGTTGTTTCCAGGCATTGATCATCTGTGAACTGACAACTTTATCTCTACATGTAAAATTACATACAAAATACAGATAAACACAACATACACGTACACAGAGGGACACGCGTTAAAATACGAACCATGTAATTATGTAAACTAGTATTTTAAATAGGAAATAGTAAATAGCGAATTCGCTTGCTACCGGATTGAATGATACTCGTACTGTTGATCATTGTCGCACCGAGAATAGGAGACAAGCGTGTATCATGCGAGATATTTACTATTTTTTATTGAATATACTACTACTTCTTCGTTCAGTTTCAATTGATTGCAAAAGAACTTGAAAAATCTTCTAATACTGGTGTTGCAAAATTATTTTGCATCAAGCGAAATTGGTTTCTGTTCAAATTTGCAATTTTGACTAATGATCGTACGAGGTGTATGGTTTTAGCGGTGTAATGTAGGTGTACAACTAGCCTCGACGATTCTTGGAAAATACGCTTACATTTGAACTACATTGTCAGAAGTATAAGTCACGTGCTTTAAACAAATTTCCAAATGTACATTTAACTCATTGGTAGTATTACATTAATAAAATAATGAAACGCGAAACAAGAATTGATATGTCGGGAGAGTGATGGGTACAACAAAATAACTGAATGATCCGCTAAATGTGTATTGCTCAATTATGTTTTATTCACAAATTCCGAGATGATTTTTCTTTTCCTGTCTCTTGGTAATTGTTTCATAGAACTCTTTAAACAGTATATCACATTGCTTCAACCCTGAAAGCGTAAATCCTTCACACAATATATAATTGAAACATGGAATTTCTGTTCTTTTTTTTTTTTTTTAATCAAATTCGTGAAATATTGCATGGCACAGTATAATAGCATAAATAATATTCTAGGCATAAAAAACATGCCCGATGTTCTCCTTCAGTATTGTCATGACACTTTCGAACATGTCATTTAGTAATTTAATTAATAACGATTCTCTCAAGATGCAACTGTATTTTTCTATCATACAATGAAATGAATGTGCAAAGACAAATCATTTTCTACTACTTGCTTTGTATGTACAAATTGTGTAAACTGCGGATCACCGCTATTAATTTCAACTTTACGATTAGTTATCGAGATAACTAGTGCATGGAATAAATTGACATGTAGTTCATTTTTTGAACACTTTTATCAAGTTCCATTTACATTTTCATTCATTGTGTCGCTACTTTTTTTAAAAGTATTATTCAGTGTCGTACACGATCACGATCACCGCCCTTGTCATGTATGAAACGCTAGAACGGTTAATTGTAAAACATTTCATTAACTTTTAGTTTACTTTAAAGTCGTAATTCATCACTCACACGTAACAATAAATATGTCAATCGGTTAAAAAACCATTAGCGCCTACATTTAAGCCTGCTAGTTTTTCAATGTACTCAGATAGAAGAGTGCGATATCAAAACATTTCATTCTTCAGAAAATTCTAAAAAAAATATTCACTTGCGGAGTGAAAAGGTTGAACATCTTGTATCCTTTGGAATGATATCTCGTGGAATGAACGGTAATCTAATCATCCGAAGCGTAGGTGCGATGAACCTAATTTCGCTATCCGAGTGCCGAAGCAGAACGATACGGATAAAGACATTTCGATGTTATCCAATTATTTGCAAACAATGTGAGGCTTAGATTTGCAATATTAGACCTGCGCTCGAAACATTATCACCGCCACCGGCAGTTTGAACAGCTTCGGTACAAACTAAAACAGGCGCGACGCACACTTGAATGGCAGTGTCTTCGGTTCCTGTTTTCAACACCTCGTCCCAACACGAGACTGGTTTGTTGATATCCAGTGCTATCCGAGTGCCGTCGGTGATGGAAGTCGAAAAGCTATCGTCCAACATCAAAGCTACTTTCTTCACATCCACCTGAAACAGGTTCGAAAGCGATTATTTACCTAAATACCTATAGCAGAAAATCCTAAAGGATATGTTTGTATTCACATTGATATTGTACTTACATTACTCGTCGCGCAAACGTGTCTGTGAGCGGTCAAGGATGCTTTGGCTGCCGCAGCCATAGTGTTTTTCCAGATTGATCCTTTTACAGTGAATATAGCTTGATACGCTAAAGTATGTACATGAATTCGCGTGAGTTCTCGCGAATTGGGAATCGATTTGCTCTTCATGCGGATCACTTTGAACAATGTTCGCATTTGATCCAGAACTGATGCGATACGCGGCGTCGAATTCGCTACCAAAGAAATATTCCTGTAATACACGGCATTATGCAGATTGACGATTTCTTGCTCGTTCATGCCTAAGCTATCCGCGTAGGGAATAACTGAATCGCATAACTCAAACAGCAATTCAGCGTCCACAAACGAAGCCATTTCAAAATGAATTTTTGTGGTCGGCAATCGCTGCATCATTTGCTTTTTCACCTTAAGCAGGAGTCTCTGCTGTTCACCTAATAGGAAACCACAAACTTCGTCTAATAAATAGAAAAAAAAGATAGTTTTCGATACATTAGAATAACAGTTACCATCCGGATAAGGATAGCTGTCCATCATCTGTAGGCCACTGACAACAAGCAAATTAGGCTCAGATTCAGATAAGGCTTCATCGAATGCATCGATGGAGCTTATCATTGGATTGTTGATATCATTGTGAACTATGTATCTGAAAAATTATTCAAATATGATAGAAGAAGTTGTTACGGTCTAAACGAACATTTTTACGATCCAATACCTGTTCGCTCTAGCACTAGAATAGGGACCCCAAACATCTCCACGTTTATACTCTATAATCAAGTGAATATCATCCCGTTTCACTTCTCCTCCGACGATGTTAATGATCTGCGGCATCATCTGGTGTAAAGACTTAGTTAATTTAGCAGCCAGTGTCACGTCGCAGCCTTCCTTAGCGAATCGTAGTGCCATAAGTGCGGCATTTCCGCCGATAGTGGAATAAGAGGATGGGAACGAGCGAGCTTTGGCAACAAGCTCGTCGAATAACGTTCGATTCGCCATGAATCGCCTACGAGACGAGGAGATAATTTTAATAACCAAGAAGAGCAGCAAAATAACGTGAACGAAAAGGAAGAAACAAATGGATATTCACTCTGTGGCGGCTCCATGTCGAAAATAATAAGCGAAACTCTTCAAAAGCTCCAATTCCGTGATAATTTCGTCGAAATGTTCCGGTTGACCGACTTCCTCGGTGAATTTCAGCAGCTGGTCGGCGTACACGAAAACGTCAGTACACACACCATAACCTATCGCAACTTTTGGCTTCGAGGTGATCACGTGTTTGTTCTCCAGTCTCTCCAATCCATGAATCAAAGTTAACAGACGTTTCTGTAGAACGTTCTCGGTATTTCTATAATAAACTGCAACTAAAACCGTCAGTAGAGTTACGGCAGTGCCGAATTTCAACCCTCTGTTGTACCCCATGTCAAACATTAATGAGAACAGTGTGGAGTGTGGAACGCCGTAATCACTACATACACAATACACATGCTTCACGTACATGTGCAGTTTCTTTAAAACGTCAATCGATGGAACGCATACATGCAAACAGTCGCTTTGGTTCAAATGTCGTTCAAACATTTATTATCAGTCCTCTTATCAGTGTATCACGAGTCCTCCATTTATAAATCTGTCCTCATTGTCTGAGAACAGATTATGAACGAAAATTTAAAACATATTCATGCAATTTCGTTTTGGATTATTTATTTAAAAAGAAAATCATGTCACGTTTCGTAACATATTGTCGACGTTCAACCTGTATAATTTATACTACATTTCAAAAATTCGGTCTCAAATTAGAAATTTATTTTCTATGATTTTGTACAATTATACAGCACGTTGATCTCTATGTTTAACTCTTACTAGCGAGAAAGAACTTATACTATAGATTAGTAAAAAATACAGGACAAGAGTAGTAAAGTTTTTCTGCCATGTACGAGATTGCGAGATTCTACCAGATATATAAAAATATTCGAAATCAGTTAATTGTAATTGCTCTCACTTTCTCTTGACAGAAAGTATTCAATCGCAGATAACAATCGTCTGGTATCTAGAAGTCTTAATTAATAATACACATTAGGTTGAGTCAAGGGTTTACAGCCCGTAGGCCATTCTTTAAATTTCCTCTTCAAACTGTAGGGAAATCGTGGGGGCATGGGTCTGGCTCCATTCCATGGTGAAGAGATACCGTCCGTCGATACCCGTGGCGCGACGTATAGTAGAGTCTCTGACTTCGACCAATTCGATGGTACGCTGTACTTCCACGCATGCGTTGGATACGGGGCGGTAATTCTCCCATCTCTACCCTTATTTCTGGAAGAGAGTTGTAAAGATGCCTGCAGGACGGGCTGCGATCGAGTATTCGCACATTCGAATGCTTAGAACGATGAGATATTTCAGATTGAAACAAACGTAACACTATTTACGGAAGAATGTATTCCTCCTTGGTTTTCGTATGAAGGCGCATATGTTTTTTCAAATTGTCAAGTCTATTGCAGCGTCGATCACAGAAATCGCACTGGAAAGGCATTAAATTGCTGTGCACCACCACGTGACCGTTCAAGTGACTAATTTGTTTAAATCGTTTGCCACAAATGGTGCAGACGTACGGTCTCTCATTCATGTGGGCGGACGTGATGTGCGTCTGCAAGTTGGTCTTCCTTACGAAGGTGGCCTTGCAGACGTCGCATTCGAATGGTCTGACGTTCGCATGAATGGCCAAATGAGATTTTAGAACGTTTTTATGTTTGAAGTTCTTCTCGCACAGATGACACTGGAACGGTCTCTCGTCGTTGTGCACTTTCTTATGAACGGAAAGATGGGCCAATTGTTTGAACATTTTCGCACAGATCTCGCACTGGTACGTGCGACCCTCTTCGTGCGCTGCGCTTATGTGACGGCGTAATGTATCCGCCAAAGTGTACCGTTTCCCACAGATCTTGCAGCGGAACGGACGCTCGTTCGTGTGGGTCATTAGGTGTCCGTTCAGGTTTCTCTTTTCAAGGAATCGTGCGCCGCACACGTCGCACTGATACGGTTTCTCCCCATTGTGCACGTACATGTGCTTCTTCAACGAGTTCGACAGGCTGAACCTTTTTTTACAGACCGTACATTCGAACTTCCGTTCACCAGTGTGAACAAGCATGTGCGACTTCACGTGGCCCGCTTGTTTGAATCTTTTCCCGCAAATGACACATGCGAATTGACGCTCGTGCGAGTGAGTCAGTATATGTCGCTCCAGCACGCTTTTGGTAGTGAAGACCTTCTTACAATTGTCACACTCGAACAAACGGAAAGATTCTTTCGTTTTCGAGTTAAAGGCGTTTTTGTGCGACTGTGCGTGCACCTTCAACGCGGTCATAGATTCGAATCTGGTCCCGCAAGCCGCACAACGGAACGAACGGTAATCTTTGTGTGTCAGCGAATGCTGAGTAAGATGCCCTAACTGTTTGAAACTCTTATTACAAATCTCACAAATGTACGGTCTTTCGTTCGTGTGGGACCGCATGTGTCTTTTCAATACGCTAGGGAAATTAAATTTCTGCTTGCAGTAGGTGCATTCCAAAGATGACTCGCCGCTATTTACTTTTTCTATAGGCGTTCTTTTTCTCTCCTTTAGGAGACACAAATTTTTCGCCGGTTTAGGCGCCTCGACCACAGCATTAGATTTTGGCTCATCCACCTTTGCATTTGTAGAGCAATCCAATTCGGTTGTTTTCGCGGTTAATATCGGTTTTATTTGCAAAGGATCTCTGCTTCTTCTTGTTCTGTTTAAACTATGCGTTTGTTTATGCGATTGCCGCATATGTTTCTCATATAAACTTAAAACATGAAACGTCTTGTTGCATAAAGCGCACTCGAACTTCTTTCCTTTGGTGTGCGATTTCATATGATTCTTCAGGTGGCCAAGTTTCATGTACTGCTTCTGACAGACCTTGCATTTCAAATTTTGATTCTCGGAGGATGAGTCTTCCTTGTCGTCGGCCAATTTGTCTTTTGCTTTATTATCAGCCAATGCATCTTCCAACACAGGATCTTCGGCTTGCATAGTTAAAGGTTCGCTTTTAACATTAACGAAATTAAAATTCAGAGGTCCTGTTGTATGCTCGATTTTAACTTCGCTGCTACAATAGCTGTCGCCATCGAGCGACTAATAAAGGAAACGATATTAATTATAAATTAGCATAGAATAATAAATATATAATCTATTATACTTACACTATCTATGTCTTTAGTTTCCATCAGATCTGAACTTTCAATAAAATTTTCAGTCTCCTCTTTTTCATTAGTAGTAGATTTGTCGGATTGAAGATTAATCCATTCTTCTTCTGTCCAAATTTCCTCCTTTCTATTTATGGTCCCAGTTCTTTTATGAAATTCCTCGTGCACATTTCTTCCAAACAATATGTCATATGGAATTTTTCCATTGTGGTTTCGAAAGGTGGAATTTTGTAAAATCTGTACATGTTTCAAAGCTTCCTGCCATGTTCTCATAGGGTTTCTCTGAACCCAGCATTCAAGTAAGTTCTTAAAATCCCTGTTGTTTTTTCTGCTTTCAGAAATATCTCCGTGAAGAATAATAAAATCTTTCCACAAAAAACGTAGTTCCTGTACAACTTCTTCCGCAAATTTGCGTCCATTATTACTTTGTATAACCTGTGGTGCTCCAATGATGGCCAATATATCTAAAAGTTTCATAGCTACTTCGCTTGCGCTATTTTCATGTAATCCTTTTAATACAACAAATTTAGATTCTTGATCCTCATAAATAAATAAGTATTTGTAATTGCTGCTTAATTTCACTGGCATGTCTATGACATCAACTTGTCCACGATGATACAATCTCTTGTTTACAATATCGTAATGCGAATTCATTTTTTTAGTGCTGTATTGTTGTACTCAACTTAGTATATAGAGATGATACTGTATGCTTTTCTTTTTAACTTGCTACATAGAGGATTAAGTACCCTTTGACGAAAGTTTGTGTTCAGAAATGATGGCACTATCTTTTTCAGACAACAAATTATGTTTTCTCTAACACTGTATATGTTCTTGACATTTTCATTATTTATACCATCGATCCTTCAAAGGCTAGCAAAACAAAAATTAATTAATTAAAACACTCGCGTGATATATACACAAAGGTGAAAAATATATTTGTTAGTTAGTATTTCAATAAAATAATACAATCTAGGAAGAAATAATATGTACAATACTATTGAATTCTAACCTTTACGTTCATCACAGAATTCATTTTACATTAAAATAAAATTTCTATATTTATTGTTGAAGGCTCGTGTCGTCGAGCCTTGGGATTGTTTCATTTCATATTTATCTATAAAACGCACGCATTTTTCACTATTCAATTCAACAATTAATGTTCAATACATATTCAACTGTAAACTCTCGTTTACCATTTTTAGGATGTGTTTTCATTGTGTTTCATTGGCATGACAAATTGTGCATGCCATAATCAATGGAAACGGTGACCATAATATGGCTCAGCCTGAAAGGATGCAACCAGTGCGACCACAGTGCATTTCAGCAGTTTTCAGTATAAGTTCGTAACCGTAACTATACTTTCTGCCTTCTGGGTTCTCGTTTATTCTATGTTCTATGACGAGTCTGGGTGACTCGCAGATAGTCTTTACGGTTATTCTATAACCTAAAACACTAACAACCCCCAAAGAAGCGAAAGGTGTTTGTATTTTGCATCCGTCGTATGAAATACTTGAAACAAAATGCCAGAAAGTGTTAAAGCGGAAACGAAGCCGAGCAAAGAGGTCAGAAATGGAAAGGAGGAAGAAAAAAATGAATTGGTGAGTTTCGATTTTTGTTCCACTGAACAGAGTTAACAATGAACATGACTGTTTTGAAAAGTATCAATGATTTTTTTTGTTATTGTTTACGTCTATGTATTACATATCAAAGAAATTCTATTATTAAGAAGAAGCAAATTTAATGTTGTTACATATTTTTATTTGTATTTAACAAAATACTTTTTAGTCCGAAGAAGACAAACTTCTGCAAGAGGAACTCACTAGTCTTGTCGAACGTTTACAAGATCCAAATGTCAGTTTACACTACCCCGCTTTAGAATCTCTACAGTCTCACATTCATGCATCTACCACTTCAATGACCAGTGTCCCCAAGCCATTAAAATTCTTGCGTCCTCACTATGACACTATGAAAGCTATTTATGATAAAATGACTAATATAAAATCTAAGGAATTGTGTTCCGATATCATTTCTGTTCTTGCTATGACTGTGAGCGAGGGTAGAGAATGTTTAAAGTATAGACTTACCGGATCTAAATTAGCTATCGGAGAATGGGGACACGAGTATGTGAGACACTTGTCTGGAGAATTAGCCAGCGAATGGGACGAGCTCACAGATGATGCAAAAGGCACAGGCAAAAAGTTAATTGCTCTTGTACATGAGATTGTGCCATATAATATGGCTCACAATGCAGAAACTGAAGCTTGTGATCTGCTGATGGAAATTGAAAGACTAGATTTATTAGAACAGTATGTAGACGAAAGTGCATATCAGCGTGTTTGCTTGTATTTAACAAGCTGCGTACCCTATGTAGCTGACCCAGAAAATAATACTCTGCTATATGCAGCTGCGAAATTGTATAGAAAATTTGGTCTATATCCACAAGCTGTGAGGTTGGCAATGCAGCTCAATGATTTGCCGCTTATCGAAGACATATTCGTCAAATGTACAGATCTGTGAGTTGGATCATTATTGAAATGTACTTTGTCTAAAAATAATAGTACTAAACGATTTCTAATGGTTTTCAGATCGGTACAGAAACAGTTAGCATTCATGTTGGGCAGGCAACAGATTTTCTTAGAATTGCCAGAATCGACACCGGAATACGAGGATCTGGTAGAGATTATGTCGAATTCTCTGCTAAATTATCACTTTTTAAATCTGGCTCGTGAATTGGACATAATGGAGCCAAAAACACCAGAGGATGTGTACAAGTCGCATTTAGAGAACTCCAGAGCACCCTTTGGTGGTGGTCAAGTAGATTCTGCTAGGCAAAATCTTGCAGCCAGTTTCGTTAATGGATTCGTGAACGCGGCGTTTGGTCACGACAAATTATTAAACGAAGATGGAAACAAATGGCTGTACAAAAATAAAGAGCATGGAATGTTGAGTGCAACCGCGTCTCTTGGCCTTGTGTTGCTGTGGGACGTTGATGGCGGTTTAACGCCGATAGATAAATATCTTTACTCGTCCGAGGACTACATTAAATCTGGAGCATTGTTAGCTTGCGGTCTGGTCAATTGCAGAGTTCGAATTGAATGCGATCCTGCTCTGGCTCTTCTTTCAGATTATGTTTTGCATAGTAGCAACACGATGCGTATTGGTGCTATTGTGGGTCTCGGACTGGCGTACGCAGGCTCAAATCGTGAAGCAGTATTAGGTTTGTTGATCCCTGTGCTCAGCGATCCGAAGTCAACCTGGGAAGTAATAGGAGTAGCTGGTCTAGCGTTAGGCATGGTTGCTGTTGGTTCTTGTAACGCTTATGTTACTACGACGATTATGCATACTTTAATGGACAAGTCCGAGGCGGATCTCAAAGACACGTATGCACGGTTTCTACCTCTGGGACTTGGACTGTGTTTCTTAGGCAAACAAGAAGCAGCAGAAGCGATAATAGCTGCTCTGGAAATAGTACCAGAACCTTTCAGATCAATGTCAACGACTTTGGTAGAGGTGTGCGCGTACGCAGGCACTGGGAACGTACTCAAAATTCAACATCTGTTGCATATTTGCTCCGAACACTATGAACCGTCCAACGAGAAGGATGACAAGAGCGACCGAAAGGACAAAGACAAAAAAGAAGAAAAGGAAAAAGACCTCACGTCTAGGCAAGCGATTGCTGTACTTGGTATCGCTCTGATCGCCATGGGAGAAGAGATTGGCGCAGAAATGGCATACAGAACATTCGGTCATTTGCTACGTTATTGTGAACCTGTAATTCGACGGTCGGTTCCTCTTGCTCTTGGGCTTATATCAGTCTCCAATCCGAAACTGAATATACTAGACACACTGTCCAAATTCTCTCACGACAGTGATCCCGAAGTAGCTCACAATGCTATTTTTGCAATGGGTCTGGTGGGAGCAGGAACAAATAATGCAAGATTGGCTGCAATGTTGAGACAGCTGGCTCAATTTCACGCAAAGGATCCAAATAATTTGTTTATGGTGCGTATAGCACAAGGTCTCACCCATCTTGGTAAAGGAACATTGACATTGTCTCCTTACCACAGCGATAGACAAATCTTAAGCCCTGTAGCATTAGCTGGTCTTCTAGCTACTCTCATCGGTTTCCTGGATGTGAAAAACAGTGAGTTCGTTGGATAATTCCTTTATACTCGCCGATACGAAGCTTTTCTATAAGTGTAACGTTCAACTTTCTTATTGCAGTCATTCTTGGTCGCTCGCACTATCTGTTGTACACACTGGCAGTTGCCATGCAGCCAAGGATGTTGGTAACGTTCGATGAGAAATTGACTCCTCTTCCTGTTCCTGTGAGAGTTGGTCTTGCCGTAGACGTAGTGGGTCAAGCAGGAAAACCAAAAACTATTACCGGTTTCCAAACGCATACTACGCCTGTTCTATTGGCGTACGGAGAACGAGCAGAGCTGGCTACAGAAGAATATACTCCTTTAACACCGATTATGGAAGGTTTTGTAATATTACGAAAAAATCCAGACTTCGTCCCTTAACTAAAACGCTAATAACATAAACGGAAAATATAATTCACATTATACGTCGGTCTCTAGCGGAAAATATTATGAATGTTACTGCGTGTACACAGATGATCTCTCCTGATAAATAGCAAAATCCCAAATGACAACCAAAATCATGTTCATTTATTTTTGACCAAACGTTAGAAACAATAAAGCGAATAAACTTTCAGATTTGATGAACTTCCCTTTTTGTATTTTATGTATGGTAATAATAAAATTCACAACTTTTTAACGGCAGTTATATTTTAATATCGAAAATACTGATACAACATGTAAATCGTTCAAAAAGTAATTTGTTTTACATTTACAAGTTAGGAAAATATACAGTACAATCTCGGTTCACGGCATAAAATTCGCGTTCGCGGTTACAACAAATGTTGAACACCGTTGGCAAGATAAAGTTACGAGTAGTCATCGAGACGAGTGTATACAATGTAAGACTAAGAGACTACCCCTTAGCTCGTAATCATTTTAGCTGCAGAAAAGTCTTCGTATTTTCTAATGCGTACAAAAATGTTGGTATACACTTTTTTTTTAACGAGTGTCGCGATGTATAAAACTGTAAATAGCTTCGCAATTAATAACTACGGAAGTTTATATCGATCAATAAACTCTAATATAAAAAATATAATGCTAAGTAACCTATATAATATATAAATAATTACATTGTGATGTTTGTGTCCTTGACAGAATCTTTCTAAATACATTAAAAGACAAACTGTAAAGCGAGGTATCTCATTTAGTCTTGAACGATTTCGTTAAGCGTGAAAAAAATAAGATGAGTTTCTTATTATACATGATAATACTAAATTCATTAACAAAGTGCAAGATAGAGAGAGAGAGAGAGAGAGAGAGAGAGAGAGAGAAGAGAAACCTGAATTACACAGTTTGTTTTTAATTTATATAAAAAATATATGATCATTTTATGACATTCGAGCACATTTACAATGATATGGACATGATAAACGATGCGACCTTAAAATTGAATGAAATCTTAGGTAGTATGATATACTATCTATAAAGATACTATAAAGCATATAAAATCAGATACGATTAAGATTTTATCGAATATGGCCTTAGTTCTCGTATCAGCTTTATAATTCGACGGAATATGGAATTCCTAACTTTTTTTATCATACAAAAATTGCATTAAAAAAGATTAATATATAGTCACGAGTACTTATAGTAATTTAAGTAACATTGAAAGCATTAAAATACTGTTACTCAAGTATTTGTATTATCGTAACCATAAGTAATTACTCTAAACTGGTAATTGTCCTATGGGCTTATTATGTTACCTTGTAAAAAAAACAATTATTTATAAACAATGTTATAAAACTGATGAACTCTGCTGCCAATAAGAAACTATTTTTTACATTACGGTTTATAATGTAGTAACAAGTAACTCTTAAGTATTTGTTCTTTTGAAAAGGAACAATAGTTCAGTACATAAAATTCTTTTCGTAGGATGTATCTCTTTACCGTGTTAGCAAAAGTTTGCTTCCATGTTGCAATGGACAGTGACAGGGGCTAGAACGTGGTGCGGAGATCCTAAGTGAGTTGTAGGAGATGGAAGACAAACGGATTGTCTTCTTAGATCCGATTCGGTATTGTTACCGACCAGCAACAGTGGCTCAACGAATGTTTGCTGTTCAGAGTCGTCATGGGGTGTCATTGTACTGTATCCATGATCGCTATCACCACCAGGCGGTTTTCTATAGTTCGTAGATACTCTATACGGTGATATGGGCGCTATACCGTCCCTTATAAGAGAATCTAAATTATTTTTCGTTTGATCCAGATCTATGGGTTCCGCGTCACCTTCTAGATGCGTCATACGTAAGATATCCGGCGACGTGTGAATGTGCAAACACTGATGCTCCAGCCCAGATTGTACAGAACGTAATCTATAACAAAATAACATGACTCCCAATATTAACAGAAACGCCAATATCCCTCCAGCTACCGAACCAACAGATGGCCATTCTCGTATTGCAATTTCTTCAGTCGATTGAGAATCTATGAAAGAAAAAAGAAAAAGATAAAACCATTGTAAATGTTTGAAGAAATTATATAGTTATTCAAACGACTGTTTCTTACTATATGTTCCATCGTTGAGTGGCATGGACGATCCAAGAACTCCTCCAAAGCATTTCGACATATCGCTGCAGAATCCAACTTGCAAAGGCGTCTCTCCATCGTTGTCTACATGACACCACTGACATCCCACAATGCCCAAGCACTCATTCTCCGTCTTGAGTATCTTACAATTGATGGAGGGACATGTTTTTAGGTTTATAGATTGCGTGTAAGATACTTGCGAGCTACCCCCTTGCTCGTGCGATACTGGACATGGTTCTAAATCATGCAAACTATACGTGGTATAATCGGCACAGTTAGAGAAATATAAAGCACATTCGCACGGGCATTCGCATTCAGTTTGCTCCATTCTTTTACAGTTGAAACAGGAACGATCCCTCTGTGAAATAATCGATACATCTTTATAGCATACAATGAGTTTTCAATGATAAAGCGAGATCAATGAGAAACATAGTTTTACTTACTGTACTACACGGACAGAAAGCTTTTAGGAAATTACAAGTCACGTTGACTACACCCAAAAATACATTGGTTCCAGGTATAGCTGCCACTTGATATTTGACACAATGTTCACCGTGAAGTATATTTGTGAGAACCTCGTCAAGGGAGGTATTAAATTGATAGTACCTTTGTATAGTACCATTCAAGTAATTCGCGCAGACTTTTTTCTTCACGAACAACTCATGATTCAATATATCGTTTGCAACTAATGATTCTTTGTGAGTCAAATGTTGCTGCTCAACTTTACCCTCCAGCAGAGCTTTAGGTTCTAATAAGGCTGGATGCGATACCAGATATCCTTTGTCATCCATCAAAAAACATTTTACCGTAGACTCGTTGCAAAAGGGAAACATTTCTTTCAACAGTCTCGAAATAAAACCCATGGTCACGTCCATAGATAAGACCGCTATAGCATCGTCATGAACAGTTGAATTGGAATTACGATGGACAGTGTGGCTAAGAGTAACAACATATCCTGATCCACCGGCTCCTAAATACGGTGGTGCGAAAATTAATTTCCCAGGATGTTCTAAAGCGTTTGCATACCATATTCTTCTTTTAGGATCATAGCCAGAGTCCAACATGATTCCCGGGAATACTTCTAAGACGCCACTCATAGTTCCAATGACGTATCTAAAATTATTTGAAATGATTTCTCCTATTTCCTGAAATTATTGTTTCAACGACATCTGAAAAATTTTAATTACCGTCGTATTATGAATTTATTTAATGGACTTTCTATATGTCTGCCTTTGAAGTACTCCAAAATTTGTGTCAATATTGCTACGTCTGGTTTAACAGAATGGCGAAGACCAGGATTAGCAAGGACTCCCGTTAGATCTTTCAAGTATGCCATATAACTTTGCATAGTTACGGCTGATCCCGCGTCCAACAATTTAAGCTGTTCCATTGGCGATTGTAGACACCATGGAGAAAGATAAACCACACCTGTGGCTAAAGATAAATATTCTTCGTTTAATAATTAAAATATATTTACTGTTTTATTTAACTATGGAGGACTGACTTACACAAGGTTTCAAGTCTATTGTTGTTAACACAGAGAATGCCTTTATCGGAGAGGCTTTGTATCAGCAAATCAAGACGATGATGCAAAATGTTTGTAGATAACATCGGCATCAATTTTGCAGCGAATGATGTGCTTTCATTGTTTATCGACGCTAAACATACTATCAAGTTCTTGTATGTCAGATGTTTCCACCGATACCACTTCTAAATCGTAAAATCTAAATTAACATAAGTTTTATCGCGGCAAATCTATAAACATTGAAATACCTGTTCTCCTAGTCTTGTTTTTACATTCACAATCCCTTCATACTGCTCGATCATCATTGTCACAATCTCGGGAGTAATATTTTCTATATGTTGTAGTTTTACTTTAAGGGGTTGTTCCACTATTGTTTCCATTCGTGGAAAGTCTTTATGAATCCAAACTGCACCTTTGTTATCAAACAATACGGGATATACATTTGGACCAGCATTGAAGTATGTTATATCATCGATAAAATTTTGCAATTGAATATCCAGTGATATTAATGCTTTATCTGTGATTTGACCAATAGACAATGACATTGTTTTACTATACAAGTCGAAATATGGATCGGTTAAGTAATAATCTTTCTTATGTTCGTCGGAACATTTCAGGTCTGAAAATAATTTTGATATTTCATATGCTAATATATTTTGACTTGGAAGAACTACTATACTATCGTTGTATTCCCTTAGATTTATGTGGGGTTCCTGGTCTGTAAAAGAGCACAATACATATATTAACAATATAATGTGAGAATATAATATGTAATCATACAGAATTACAGCAAAACTAGCTGACCTGATAGAATTAGTATTGTTCTTAGGTATCCTTTCACCTTTCCCATAGAGATCATGTTGTTTATTTTTGTGATATGTGAAGTAGTTTTAAGAGTATTAGTCAGATGTATGAATACAAGTTCACCTTTAACATTCTCCACCAATTTGTGGAAATTCAATTCAATCGTGTCGTTGGTCTCTAGAAATTAAAAAATAAGTTACACTAATTTAATCGCCTACTTTTTAAGTTATATAATTAAAGAAAGAAACCGTACCCATTCTTGATAAACTGTGAATATAACGTGCCAGTTGAAATTTATTAATGTCTGTAGCTTTCAACAAACCGTCTTTACAAAATATGGAATTATTGCTGGAAAGACCAACGACATTAATGTAATCCATTTGTGACAGCATATCGATTATTCTTTCTGCCGTTATTTGAGCTAAAGTAATGTCTCCTTCGGACATAAACATGCCATGCTCGAATAATAAAAGTACATTCTTCTTTGGACAATATTGTGATAATAGAAGGGGCCCGATGTTGTGATCGGAACTGTAAGATCCACATATCGTCGCAGGGTACATAAATGGCAGTACATGTATATTCTTGAATTCTTGGTTTCTCAATACGATTGCAAGTACTGAAACATAGTATTCATAAGAATACATCTCAGAGATTCATACTTGATGGTAAGGATCAAAGGCTATAATGAAATGCATATTATACCTTGTGTTATCTGTGAACAAAAATCAGACAGTTTATTGGATACAGTATCCAATCCTCCGATAGCAGAGTAGGTAAACTGATCTTTATTTTTGGCTAGAATCGACTGAACAACGTCGTAGCTTTGCTTGAGAATCTCAACGTAGGACAATAGCTTGTTGTTCAGTTTATCCACCAAGAAGGATAGCCTGGTGTTCAGGCTGCCGGTGGCATTTGTGAATTCCATTGCATCGAGTATCTGCTGAAAGGATGTCAAACCGAGTTCCGCGTCCGTAATCGAGCGAAACTCGTTTGACAGGCGAATCACGATGTCCCTTAGGCATGTCCCGTTCAGTGGTTCCGCGTTCACTTGTTTCCGCGAACTTTTGCCGAACTGACAATTCACGTCACTGGTCGAATTATTTTCGACCGAAGCGGGTAGAATCGCTAGTACTATCGCAACTAGTCCAAAACACAGGTTCCTCTCGACAATCATTCCGTTTTCAAACTTGACGCCTATTCTATGTTGTAACCTTAAAGACTCGTTATGGCGCCATAATGACCACCAACCACCACAAACAAGGTCGACAAGTGGAAACCGGGACTAGTAGGACAAAGTATTCTTATTACTTTCTAATTGAAATACAATCGATCCGTTCTCGGTATTCCAGATAGATTTCGCGGTTTTCAAAGCCCACGGTTCTTCGGTTCTCTAACCTTTCACTTCGTCTTGTATATTAAATTGATCTATGTACAGAACTATAACTAAAACGGCGACTGCAAATGCTACTTGAAGGAAATGTGTTCACTCGGAAATCGTTGGATCGAACTTATTTTAGAAGTTCGATAAATTCCATAATTAAATACGTAATATCGTATTGTAAAGCATTTAGTTGGTATCTTTGTTAAGTATATAATTCATCATTTTTTTTTTCAATATCCGTGAACAATAAAGTTTAATGCGAAAGCTGTTTAACAACAAAAATGATATTCCAGTTTAGCTAATACGAAATTAAACAATGTTTAATCATTGTTAGTCATTAATGTTAGTCATTGTGAATATTAAAAAATACGATGTTTCTACCTTCTGTTTCATTTGAATATTCAAATGACGATTGTGCAACTGTCTACGATTAGCCAGTAGGGGTTGTTCAAAAACCATATTTGATAGTATGAAGTTTGCTTTTAACAATAATAGCACATTACTTTATTAATCCCAATTTGGACAGCGATTGACAATATTCGAAACTTTACTTAACTTTACCGTAGCATGCATTAACAAAATCTTAAAAAACTAAAATATTCAACATTCAAAATGCTCAAAGCCTTGAACAATATAACCAACCGAGTAAGGACAATTGGGATAGTGGTAACTCTTGTGGCAAAATCATGAAGCTTCATTCAGGATCCGTATAGCGCCAAGCCTCCAGAGGCTTAGTGGCAAAAAGCTCAAACTGTTAATCATATTATCGACAAACGATTGTATTACCGACATTGCTCCGTGGATAATTTAATAAAGTCGCGCCGAATTGCCTTTCCTGCAAAACGCGGCGCGAATCATTTGGCTTGATAGTTGATATTGATATTGATAACTGATTAACTATATTCCAAATACACGAGAAATTATTATAGGCGTGTTGCTGGAGCTCTCCCCTTAGTTTTCGAATCATAAAAATGAAAATAAAATTGAAATCATGTCGAAAAATCTATATTCTATGAAGCTATAGGTGAACGTTCTTCAGCGTAGGGAGATTGCAATTTGAAAATAATTGGGATAGCATACTAGACGCTGTAGGCTATAGGAACTAATACGTTTGAATAGAATATAGTTATTTATTATTATTGTTGTTATTATTATTATTGTTATTATTATTGTTGTTATTAATATTATTTCTCTTTTATATCATTTTACAATATTATATATCGTTCGATCAAAAGCACCATGGGTTTGAAAAATATTTACGGCGCACGGGTGACACACGATCTCTTCTTCTTCTTCTTCTTCTTCTTTTGCCTCTTCCGTTTCTTCTATTACGTCTTTCTGTTTTCTCATCGATTTTCATCGCCGGCACAAGTTTCTCTTGTTCCTTTCCGTGACTCTTTTTTTCGAGTTTTACATTTTGATTTTGAGACTGCACACGTATATAGAATTCGAAAGTTTACACGTTTAGACGATACTTATTAAATAGTACGCACACATAGAATCCATTGTAAAGTAAAACGGTCGACGGTTGGCCGCTGTCGAGTATGTTCATAATAAGTAGTTGACGTCGTTGAAACGGTGTTCGTTAGGACTGAGAACCGATCGACATCCACAGTCGCAGCCGATACTACACCTTTGATCTCGTCAGCGTCGTGTATAAAACTAAAATTCGTCGCACATAAAAACGTATGCTCTAAAATACAGAATCGGCGAACTTCGACGATCATCGCCCCATCGAAAAGTGACTACCTTCTTGAAATTGATAACAAAAGGTACACCGAGAACAATATACCATTTCATCAGAACAACGTCCCATATAAAACGATATTCAATTATTCTCGTATCAGGATCAATTATCTCTTACAATGTATTAAGCTCATTTGGACGCTGATCGAACCATCGAGTAAATTACGACGACGAAGGGATTCTCGTCCATTGACTATCGGCTATCGGCTGTGGTTATCAATCGGTGACCGTAGACACGGCTAGGAAATTAATTGACGATTATAACAGTAAAAAGTCTAGGGGAACGTTTAGTCGGAGCGGGATCGGAGTATAAAGCGTGAATCGAAATAGAAGATATGTCGTTTAGCGTTTCGACGCCGAACAATCGGCGTCGAACCGTTTCCTTCTACGCAACCCTTCCCTTTCGACTATTGTCCATCCTCTTCTCCCTTTCTCACGGCCTTCTTTCGGCTCTCTCTCTCTCTCTCTCTCTCGATTATTCTATCGTTATTTCTTTCTTCGGTCTACGGAACGAGTTTCCTCAATTGCTCTTGCTCCAATTGTTTTCCATTCCCTCGGAGTCGAGCCGTTCAGAAAGTTTGTACTTGGAGCATCTTAATTTCCCCTGTCTCGGCCTCTCGAAGACCGTCCATTCGATCCTAAGCATCATCTCCATCGGATAAAAGAAAGCCTGCTCCCGGTGTAAACCGAGCGCCCGAGGAATAGTTTGATTCGAATACTATTTATGATCGTTTAAAGGATTTCAGTCATGGCGCTCGCGCCACGGTACGCTCGGACCTTGGCGTTTGCACGCGCCAGGAGTTTAAAACGCTGCGAGCAGCCCGGAACACGACCTCATCGTTCGAAGCGGAAGGATGCGCGAATGCGCGAGTGCGCGAGTCGGCGAGAGCGCGCCGAAGTGCGGCGACAAGAGACTTTTCATCTGTCTCAGAATCTTCGCCCTGTCTTCTCTCAGCGGCGCCCGAGGAGATCGACGAACATTCGAGCGCCGTGGTCACACGATTCCAGTGTTCTCCGTTCGACGCTCTTCGGCGTGCCCCCGCGAAGCGAAAAAGTCTTTTCGAGCACCGTGTTTTTTTTTTCTCTTAAAGTATATAACGAGTAGTCTTTTCTTTCTTTCTCTCATCCTTTCCCGCCTTTCCTGTTCGCCGGCGAGCTCGCCGTTCGCCGCGCGCACAACAAAGACAGAACAGCGAAAAATCAAAGGTTCCCGTGTGCGCGGCGCGCGCGCGAGTCTCCGAAATACGTCAGCAGCCGGTGTCCGCGTTCGATCCCTCTCCCTGGATCGCCTCCTCCCGATCTCGATCGTCCTCTCTGCCGCTCCCCCGAAATACGGTAATTTGCTAATTTCGTTCCTGGTCGGCGTCGTTCGGCTCCCGTGTTCGGCTTTCGGTGGTCGAGTCGAGGTCGGGCCGAACTTAGTAGACCAGACGATGCTGATACGGGAATCCCCGTGTCTGCGAGCTCATCTGGTACTGGCCGGCGCTCGAGTACGGGTCGTACGTCTGCGAAAAAACAACACGGGATTCTTCTTCTTACCGTCCGACGAACCTTCGACCGTTCCGTATCGCCGATACGAGTTGAGCGAATCGAGCGACTCACCTGCGACCGTTTTCTGGTGACCATGAACCTCTTCTCCGGGGCGTTGTAGTAAGTCTGCTGGGGATAGACGACGCCGTACTGGGGGCTGTCCGCGTATTGGGACGCGGATTCGAATTGTTGGCCGTACTGGTTCCCGAACTGCTCGTAGTAGCTCGGCGGATGGGTGCGAACGATCCCGATGTCGGACGGCGACAACGAGTCGACGTTGTAACGGCGAGGCGGGTACATCGACGAGTCCATCCAGGGCAGGGCTGCGAAGACAATTGGATCGATAGTATGAGTAATTAATTGCTCGTAAATGAATCGCGCTAGAACCGCGTCGACCAGCAAATATCATCTCGGCTCACCGTTTCGCGGGTCCTCCTCCTCGAGAAGATTGCCATCCTCGTCTATGTTCTCGTACTCCTCGTTCATGTACTTGTGCCAGTTTCTAGAGTGAAAAGAAGAGAGAGAGAGAAAAATGAGGAGATTGGCCGGGCTACGTGCTACGGAGGTGTACGCGTTCCCTCGTAATTAGCGGCGAAGTTCTTACCGGTTGCGACGCTCGTTCTCCCATAGGGACAGGAGGGTCAACACTTCCTCCGGATCGATATTCACTTCCCTCTTGAATCGCGGCTCTTGGTAAATCGGCACGCTGGAAATTACCATTTCCACGATATAGGCACGATATAGGTGTGAGTTCGCAACGTTCGTTAGAATCGCTCTAAAACCACCGTGGTAATATTAATTTACGTTCACCTATGGTCGGGGACAGGTAATAGACCAACCAATCGTTTCGATGCTCCCTCGAAATGCAGTAAATTCTCCCTAATCGACGCTCAGATTTTACATTGTTACCGTTTGTCAACAACTATAATAACCTACAAACGTATCTCCTCTTTCGAGATTCTCCATTCCTGTGCACGATCGCTCGGATCAATTAGGGAGAATTTGCTGTATACGCAGGGTGTCCCAAAATTATGGTTACTTCCGGGAAATGAGGAGTTCCCGAGGTTATTTGAAGTATATTCCCGCTTGAATCGCGGCTCTTGGTAAATCGGCACGCTGGAAATTACCATTTCCACGATATAGGCGCATAGGTGTGGGTTCGCTACGTTCGTTAGAATCACTCTAAAACCATCGTGGTAATATCAATTTACGTTCTCCTCTGGTCGGGGACAGGTAATAGACCAACCAATCGTTTCGATGCTCCGTCGAAATGCAGTAAATTCTCCCTAATCGACGCTCAGATTTTACATTGTTACCGTTTGTCAACAACTATAATAACCTACAAACGTATCTCCTCTTTCGAGCTTGTCCATTCCTGTGCACGATCGCTCGGATCAATTAAGGAGAATTCGCTGTACACACAGGGTGTCCCAAAATTATGGTTACTTCCGGGAAATGCGGGGTTCCCGAGGTTATTCGAAGTAAGTTTTGTCCTTGGCGAAAATGGAATCCGCGGCTTTGTTTACGAGTCACTGACGATAAACGCCGACCAATCAGAGACGAGCTCGGCCCGCGCGTTCTGTTGTCATTGGCTCGGCCGTCCCGCGCCAACTGATCTTGCCCTCTCATTGGTCACTGTTTTCCGTTAATAATTCGTGAACAAAAGCGCGGTTTGCATTTTCGCCGAGGAAAAGGTTACGTCGAATGATCTCGGCGAGCTCTCGTTTCCCGGGAATACTATCACTTTGGGACACGCTGTATACGTGATCCAGATTTCGAATACGAGAAACGAGGCGTTCCAGACATTCGAACCGCGTTCCACGGTTTCCAAACGATATCGGTTTCCGATTCGGTTATCCGAAAGCGGATATCCTTGTATACCCGACAGTACTCGAATGACAACGACGCGCGCGTCGCAGGCATCGCATTTCGACGAAACGGACACGTCCGACAACTAATTTCGCAGAAACAAGCTGGCTGCTTCTAAAAGGCCAAACGATATTTCAAGGAGAATATCGGCGTATCGAAACGATTAAGGAACGTAGTCGTCGTCGTCGCGTCTGGTAACGACGATCGTTCGACGAAGTCTCGGGGCATTTGTCGTGGATCCGACAGGATGTTGTCGTAGGTCGGGTCCGCGCGGAGCATGCCTGGTGCGCGCTTGAACCGCGAGAAGACGCGAGGAGACGCGGCCAGGATGATCGATACCACGGTGTAACACCGGGGCTAATGCCGTCAGCTGATCCGACCGGTCGGCCATATGCCGAAACGAAACCGACCCGTGCTCGTCAGGTGGTTTCATTCAGCTTTCTCGCTCGGTGCCCGCATCCGACTATGTACACACCTATACCGGTTGCACCGCGGCTGGTCAAAGAACAGTCGTCGTCGTATTTGTCGAACTACTCACTTCGCGAACTGTCGCGTGTTCGTCAACTGCGATCTCTCGCCGGTCGCTCTCCTGTCGGTGCAACTCGGAGGGAATCCAATTTACTTATCGATCGTAGATATCGTCGGAATCCTCGCTGCTTTCCGTAAGATCGCGGAGCAAAGAAACGGACGGAAGACTCGACCGATCTGTATTTCCTGTATTTCCGATTCCGTTGTCCATCGAGGGGACAACAACGGCGTGTAATAACCTAGAAACCGGGGCGCGGACTTTTATGCGAAATCATGACGCTCGCGATGTAAACTGTTCGCATTGATCGCAGGATACAGCAGCTACGTATATACATTTATTTATCGTTTTTGTTAACAATTTTAACACGTAGGATAGAAATACAGTAAATTCTCCCGAATTTTCCTTCGGCTTGTAAGCTAAAGTGGAAGAGGAGATACGATTGTTCGAGTTTCATTTTCATAGTTGACGATTGCCGACGATTATAAAAAACGAGGTGCAAGGCTCGAATAATCTCAAAAATTGTCGATTCTTGTTTACAAGCTGAACGAAAATTCGTGAGAATTTACCGTACAACGGTGCTCGTATATATTCTTCGAATATCATAACTGTATTGTATTTAACCTTTTAGGTACGGCTGAATTCTGCGCGAGGCCATTTCCCTGGACGGCAGATGATGTGTACTGTACAGAGTCTGATACTGTATATTCTGTCTGTATATACAGAATGTCCCAAAAATGTCTCGCAATCCGAAAGTGGCGGGTTCTTCAGGCCATTTGAAGCAACTTTTTCCTTTACAAAAATGTTCTCCGAGGCACCGTTAACGAGTTAATAATGAAAAACAGTGACCAATGAGAGGCGAGCCAATGAGCGGAACTGGGCTTCGTGCGCTGGTTGGCTGGGCCGTCTCGCGTCAGCCGTACTCGATTCTTATTAGTCACTGTTTTTCGTTAATAACTCGTTAACGGTGCCTCGCAGAAAATTTTTCTAAAGGAAGAAGTTGCTTCAAATGATCCGAGGAACCCGCCATTTCCGGATTGCGAGACATTTTTGGGACAGCCTGTAGATTGTTGTAAATCGATGCGAAGACAAAAGAAGTGTGAAACAATGCATACAAGGACAATTATTTGATTCAAACGACGAACGAGTGAGCTACTAGAGAGCAAGCCACTATAGTGGCGCGACGGGCCTAAAAGGTTAAGCTACTCGTTGTAAATCCATAAAATCCTCGGCCCGGTAACAACAATCGGGAAATCCGTCGGGAAGGCCGTCGATTCGATTTCGCGAGGCGTCCGGGCACCGATGCTTGGGCGGCACGTGACTCGAACACGGATGAAGCAAAAGAGCGACAGGATCGNACAGAATGTCCCAAAAATGTCTCGCAATCCGAAAGTGGCGGGTTCTTCAGGCCATTTGAAGCAACTTTTTCCTTTACAAAAATGTTCTCCGAGGCACCGTTAACGAGTTAATAATGAAAAACAGTGACCAATGAGAGGCGAGCCAATGAGCGGAACTGGGCTTCGTGCGCTGGTTGGCTGGGCCGTCTCGCGTCAGCCGTACTCGATTCTTATTAGTCACTGTTTTTCGTTAATAACTCGTTAACGGTGCCTCGCAGAAAATTTTTCTAAAGGAAGAAGTTGCTTCAAATGATCCGAGGAACCCGCCATTTCCGGATTGCGAGACATTTTTGGGACAGCCTGTAGATTGTTGTAAATCGATGCGAAGACAAAAGAAGTGTGAAACAATGCATACAAGGACAATTATTTGATTCAAACGACGAACGAGTGAGCTACTAGAGAGCAAGCCACTATAGTGGCGCGACGGGCCTAAAAGGTTAAGCTACTCGTTGTAAATCCATAAAATCCTCGGCCCGGTAACAACAATCGGGAAATCCGTCGGGAAGGCCGTCGATTCGATTTCGCGAGGCGTCCGGGCACCGATGCTTGGGCGGCACGTGACTCGAACACGGATGAAGCAAAAGAGCGACAGGATCGACCGGGCCGGGGGGGAAAGGGCTGAAAAGCGAAATTATTATGCTTTCCGCGGAGGCTGGACACGGCGACTAAGCTAGCTGGCTATTCTCGTCAGCTGATTGGCCGACTGATATGCGCGATATGCGATACGAGGCACGAGATACGCGATCGAGCAATAGTCGAGAGCCTGACCTACTTTAGCTCGTTGGCTCCATTCAGGTTTTCGTAGACCCACCCCGCTGGAAATGTACCCTATTGCGTCACGGGTATCGAACGAGCCCCGATCGCTGCGCCAACACGCACACACACACCGGCAAGCCGCACGCCCACACGTACGCCCACGCGAACGCCCACACGTTCAACGGTGTAACCAGCGCATGCAACACCGTCGGGCGCCTGCGTCCCCGATTTCCACCACAATTTTTCCGACGGCCGTTAAAAATTTATGGTCCAGAGAGAAATGCGGAACGATCTCTTGGTTTCTTTTCTCCCCTGTTTCTGCGTTCCTCCGACGGACGACGGCCCACTCGTCGGAAATATCGTCCACCGCCGGTATCGGTTTCGCTGGCGCAACATTCTCACCCTGGCAACCGGTTCCACGTTGTTTATTTTATATATTATTATTATTATTATTATTATTATTATTATCTTATATTTTATATATTTATATTTTATTTTATATATATATATATATTTTATATCTTATATTTTATATATTTCCGATTGTAGAGCATCTCTCGTAGGAAACGGTCGACTAACATTCTTAATTCAAGCTGATTTAAGCTTAATTTAAGCTTAATTTAACATGTCTTTACATTCTGTAAATGTCTGTAAATTCTCCCTAATTTTCCTTCAGCTTGCGAATAAAAATGGACAATTTGGCAGTTCGAGCTTTGCACCTCGTTTTTATAATTGCTGACGATCGGCAACTATAAAAACGAGCCGCGAGGGTCGCGGTTATTATTGCTTCCCAAATTGTCCATTTTTCTTTGCAAGCTGAAGCGAAAAATTCGCGAGAATTTACCGTAAATTCAGTCACGTAATTCCTGCAAAGCAGGGGTGGTGTTAAACCGACCGATCGACCGCGCAACAATTCCTATTCGCCCGCCGATCTGACATCAATGTTCATTTCAAAATTTATACTTATTCTCGGCTTTAAATTGCTACTTTTCCTATGATCGCTTAACGCGTACGGATGTCTATAATTAAAAAAAAAAAAAAGGAAAACAGGTCTCGCCCGTGGCGATCAAAAGTTTACTACAAAGCAACTCGTGCTGAAGATTTTCAGTGCTCGGCGGGTTTAACGTTAAATTAGATCTCGTCAAGAATTTCCCGACAGCCGCGAACCCCGGCCGGGAAATCTCTCCTAGAGGTTCCGCGAGCTCGAGAAAATTGGTTCCGCCGGCGAGTCCGTACGTGGGCGAGGAGCAGGGGCCGCGGGGGCACGTGTACACGCGTGTACATTCGCTGGCGGACAATGCTGACCTGTGACATTTATTTACAGGTCAGACGATGCACACCCGGCTAGGCGGCTAGGTTCGCGCGTAAAAATAAAGGTTTGACGCAAGGGTCGGCCGGCTGACTGGAAAATAATTAATTCATGCTCCGACGTAGAGCGGGTGACGTCATCGCGTACGTCATACTAATTAATGACGCACCGTTTCCCCGTCAGCGGGGATCGCTATAAATACTCGGCGACGTCGGAGTCTCGGTATCCGATCCGATCCGATCCGATCCGATCCGATTCGATCCGATTCGATCCGATTCGATCCGATTCGCGATCGGAAGCGACGTTCTCTCCTTCGTTTCCGCGAGAGTGCTCGCAAAACCGTGGACAATAATATCGGAAATTCTTCCGGGTTCGTCGAAGATCAAAATCGTCGGACCCGATCGCTTCCGGTGTAAATGTCCGTCACGACTCCGACGATAAGAACGCAAAGAAATGATACGCGAAGTTTCGCGAGAAACGGGCACATATACGGTAATGTCTCTCTGATTGACGCTCAGATTGTCCAAAGAAATAGACAATTTGGGAAGAGGAGATACGATTATTCGAGCGTTGCGACTCGTTTTTATAGTTACCGATTGCTAACGATCATAAAAACGAGGTGCAAGGCTCGAATAATCGTATCTCCACTTCCCAAATTGTCCATTTTTGTGCACAATATGAGTGCGAATTGGGGAGAAAATACTGCACAATAAATTCTTTCTAATTGACGCTCAGCTTGGACAATTTAGGAAGAGCAGATATGATGAGTCGAGCCTTGCGACTCGTTTTTATAGCTACCCATTTTTAACAATTATAAAAACGAGCCGCGAGGCTCGAATAATCGTATCTCCTCTTCCCAAATTGTCCATTTTTGTGCACAATATGAGCGCGAATTGGGGAGAAATTACTGCACAATAAATTCTTCCTAATTGACGCTCAGCTTGGACAATTTAGGAGGAGCAGATACGATTATTCAAGCCTTGTGACTCGTTTTTATAGTGACCCATTTTCAACAATTATAAAAACGAGCCGCGAGGCTCGAATACTCGTATCTGCTCCTCCTAAATTGTCCATTTTTCTGCACGATCCGATTAGGGAGACATTACTGTAGATCGGATATCTGTTGAGGAAGAAATATTTCTCGTTGAAGCGTGTGTCGAGAAAACGTTACGCGGGACACCCGGTATGCGAGCGGAGGGTAGGGAAGAACGATCGAGGGGATCGCGAGCAAACACGGCTGCAATTGAACGTTTAGCACGAAGTCGACGAGAGAGAGTTGTCCCGGAAAAGGGAAGGAAGGCGCGAGGAGAGCTGAAAGCTACTCGACGTTAGGCGGCTCATGATCAGCCCTCGATAACGACAGCCTCCCCGAGTCGCGTATCGAACGACTCGACACGACCCGCCGCGACTCGACTCGACTCGACCCGTCGTCCCTGTCGAGGGCAACGCCCTCGTCGGACCTCTCATCCCCATTCAGAAGGAGCGTCGAGGAGAACGAGGGACGACGTCGTCGAGCAACCGCGGAACACGAGTTTCTCAATTCAACGACCGCTGTCCTCTTCCACAGGTGAATTCGTTGCCGCGCGCCCACCCCGGCCCACCCCCAACCACCCCTCCCCCCCGGAGACTTTAACACGGTCAAACTGTCTCGCGAACTACTCTCCGCAAGTTCAGCCGACCAATTAAAAACTCTGGCTGGCCGTTCCCGAGTATCCGGTGCCGTGGCTTCGGGGGGTGGGGGGAAACTTCGAAAGCTGGCACGCGATGTCGGGGGCGAAATTTCCGCTGGAAATACACCCGTCGCGTTCGAAATAGATCGCTCGTTGGTATATTCGGCCCGCGGAACGTTCTCCAAGGTTTCCAAGAGCGTTTCTACGAAGTTCGCGAACGGAAGACGAGGCGAAAAGGGGGGGATGGATCCACGAGTGTGTTCGGCACTCACCTTCGCTTGACCTGCGACTGCACCGACTGCTGGGTGGACGTCTGGGTGGCCGACTGATAGGATGCGGTCACCGGTTTCACGGTGGTGGACCCGATCGCGGCTTTCTCGGACCTCTTCCGGCGGTCCTCGTTCAGATAGTAGCGCGAATAAGGCGGCACGTCCCAGATGTTGGACACGTCCTGGCCCAGCTCGTTCACCAGAACCTTTCCGTAACTGCGGCACGACGGTTTCGCGATGAGTAAAACGGTAAATTCTCCGTAATTGGCGCCGGGACGCGCGGAAGACTGGACGATTTGGGAAGAGGAGATGCGATCGCTCGAGTCTCGCGGCTCGTTTTTATGGTTTCCGATTGTCAAGAACTATGAAAACGAGCCGCGAGACTCGAATAATCGTGTCTCCTTCTCCCAAATTGTCCACATTTCGGTGCGATCCGAGCGTCGGATCGGCAACTTGCTGTGCCGCCGCGATCGGAGACAGTTCGATCCTTTTGGGATCCAGAGTCTAGGATTCTAGAACTTAGATTCGTGGACTTACTCGTAATTCTTCTCGAAATTCTTCTCGTAATTATTCTCGTAAGGGGAGTAGCTGTCGCGGTCGTAGAGATTGTTCGAAGGCATCTTCGAGCGAGCGGCCTCCTCCTCCGACAACGCTACCTTCAGCCCGCCGAGACCCGAGGAAGGCGAGAGCGGTGTTCCTGCGAACAGAATTCGAGAAATATGTTTGACATTGTGACATTGTTCCTTCTTTCGAAACGGCCGAAGATAGAAAACGAAAGGAAAAGGTTCCTGTCTCGAGTCTTTTTAAGTCTGCTTTTCTGTTCTTTTTTATTTCTTTTTTCTTCTTTCTATTTCTTTTTGTTCCTGCATTTCATCTGTCCTTGCGTCACTGATACCATATTATTACTCTCTCTCTCTCTCTCTCTCTCTCTCTCTCTCTCTCTCTCTCATTGAAACAAAAGGTTCGTCCCGTTGATAAATAAAATTATTATTATTATCATTATTAATGAAATTACTCTTTTCAGCGTTGGACGCGTAAGTTCCAGGAGCGCTGGCTTCCGGTTGATGGTTCTGCTGGTTGCCGAACATCAGCATCTCCTGCGCCCTCTTGGCTGAAAAACGATCACAACCAGACGTTAAATCGCGAGATCACGAGATCGCGTTTAAATCGCCATCGAACGACAACGAAGAGGATCGATCCCGGAGGGTGGCTGAAGGCACTTACGTTTCGGTCTCATGGTCTGCTCGATCTTCTTCGCCATGGTGTCCTGCGCCATGTTGGTCGGCAAGGCATCGGCCAGCGAAACGACGGAGTACAGGCTCAACAGTCCCACCCACGCGATCATCTGAAAAATCAGCGAGTTTCCCGTGTGATTCCAGGGACTTTTCTCTTGCCGTCCGGGCCGGTTGGTTCTTTCGGCTCTGCGAGCAGGGAAAACGGGGACCGGCAAATGAGCGGAGGAGGGAGGGGGGATCGATGCGCAACCCCGTTTCAAGCACTTTTTTTTTATCTAGATTAAGAGCGTCGTTAGCGTAAAGTGTTCCCGTTGGCGTACCGGTCGAAGTTTACGTTGAAACGAAGATAGCAGGTCACTACGAAAGAAACTTAAATGTCACATAATGCGAAATGTCAGGAATCTATTTCCATTGCACGTGAAAAATTAACGGGCATACCGTGTCGCGGTTGCTATAAGAGGTTGCGCCGATCCTCCGGTACCATTTTATCGCGATTCGAACGGTCGCTCGGCCGGAATCGAACGACCAATCCGCGAAGGCGAAGGAACGCCGCGTCCCGATCGACCGGAGCAACTCGCCGGCACCGATTTCCCACCCCTTCTTCTTCTTCGTCGCCGGATCTCGCTGAAAATCTCGGCGAACTTTCCCAGCCGGCGAATTTCAGCGGCTCGACGTCGCGTTCTAAAATTTTACCGGGCAAGTCGATCGACGTTCGAGCACACCGAGATCGAACAGATTCCGCGGACAGAATCGCCATCCGACGTTCGAACCGTGCAGGGTTGGTATCTGGATGGAATTCCGATCGAGTTTAGGGGAGGCGACTGCGGGACTCGTCGCGGCGACGACGAGCAAGCGGAGAGATGCTGCGACCGGGTTTCGCGAGATACGAGGCCCCGGGATAATGAAATTACAGCTCGGTCGCGATTAGTTCGCGACGCTGGCAACGTTGCGACCAGTTACCGGCAATTAGGCGTGCAATTAACCGAGCCCCGAGGCGGAATCGCCGGCCTCTAATGGTCACCCTATCGGCTCGAAAATGTCAGAGTTCGAAGGAACGCCGCGGCCCCCTCCCCCCGGTTCCCGCAACCTCGTTACGATTAATTGACAAACCGATCCGGCGTTAGTCCGACTTTCGAGCGGCGCGATATACGCTGGATATGAAATAAATTCAGCGGCCGCGAAACGCCCGGCCGTTCCGAACTCTGGAAAAGTTGCCGGTGGAAAAGTTCGCGAATAGTTTCGCGGCGATCGATCCTGTTCGCGCGGCCGGGTAATTACGGCGAATCGGTCGCGATTACGTTCGCGAATGTCGGGGCGACGCGGCCGAGAAAATTCCGAGGGTCGCGAGAGTTTCGAAATTCGAGCGCCGTTCTCTGGACAAAGAAAAAAAGAAAAACGGCCAATCAATCCGGAGGGATTCCGCGCGAACGGATTGGTGTCGCGGGCGGACCGAATCGAAGCGTCTCGTCGCGTCGCGGCGCGTCGCGTCGAACGAAACCGGATATAGTAGACCCAGAAATCGCACACTTGTTGCGTCCGGGAACACTATAGTCGTTTCTTGCGTTTGTGTACGCGCCTATGCGACCATGCGACCCGCAATTAAAGATGCATTTCATTGACCGTTGCCTCCATTGAGGAGCCCCGTCACGCGCGGTGAAGACGATCGCGTTCCGGAACTGTCCCGCCCGGGTTCCGTCGCGGTTCCGGACATCTTTTCGCGACGAACGGTGCCGCGTCACCGCGGAAAACACGACCGATAACCCCCCGCACATTTTTATGCCTCGATTAACGTTCCAACGAGTTCCGAAAATTCGACGAATTCGAGCGAAAATTGCAACGTTTCTAACCGATGAAAAAAAAAGGAAAAAACATCGAGATCGCGGAAAATAAGATGTTCGAGGAGGCGAGAATACGTTCCGGTGAAACGGTAAATCGCGATTTAAAAAAGAAACGAAAAAAAAAGAGACAACGAAACGACGATCGAAACGGTGAAAATTGCGATCGCGCGCCGAAGATCGTTCGCACGTATATCGTATCGCGAAGAAATTTCTGTAAGCTAATCGAGACGGTAATCGGCCTTAAGCGAAATCTATTCGGCAGCCTTCAATTATGACGTTATCGAAATTACATCGCGATCCGCGCGATACCCTGGCATTTCTATGAATAGCACGAAACCGAAACAATTTTAGCCGCGTTTTATTATCCGACGGAGAAGCAACGGATTAGATCGATCGGGCCGATCGATCCTCGGATTCCCGGCTGACCGAAAGACGAAGGCCGCCCCTCGCGGAACGAAAAAGCACATTCACCCCCGAACAAACAGAAAAGAACGCAAGAAAACACATTGACAAATATCTGAGAATATTTTTTTCTCTACCTTTCTCGGAGATGTCTAATTTCTTCTTTGAATCGTTCCTCTCCCTATCTTTCTTTATTTCTCTCTCTCTCTCTCTCTCTCTCTCCCTATTTGTCTACTTGTCTTTGTATCTCTCTCTCTCTCTCTTTTCCTTTCTCTCTTTCTCTCTGTCTCTACGTTTGTCTCGCGAGAGCTGTTCTCCGAGAATGCCAGAGAACTCGTGTGCTCGGCTGATCGAGGCAGAATGAACGTCGGAGCTCGTCGGGGCGACTAGAAAACCGGCGCTGGAGCGTCGCGACGCGTCGGCGGATACGGTCGATCAACCACCCCCCACGCTCTCGACTTGGAACCAGCCAACCCCTCTCTCGCAACTCAGCCCTCGACGGCCCCTCGACAACCCCTCGTACGTACGGTCTTGCCGCGCACGAACATTTACGCCGAGAATCTCGACAAAATTCGAAACAGAGTAGCCGAGAAACACCATGGATGGTCACATGAAAGCGCGCATCCACGGGGCTCCGCTAGCTCTCTAAGCTCCAATCGCTCTTCCGATCCTCGTTACGGACTGCACCGGCTCGAACTTTCCCCAATTACATACAGACTTTCCGTAACAGTTCGGACGCTTTCTAGCGATGTTCCCTTGTTACGCAATTTAACCGGTGGAAATTTCAAAAGAAGGAACAACCGTCGGCCTCTCGATCCTTATTTGTTCCGCTTTAACCCCCTCCACCCTCGCGCTACGAAAACGAGCCGGACCGCCTAGTTTCTTCCGGATCGAAGCAAGATTCGATTCGCCGTGGTTGTCGAGATCTAGAAATGCGTGTGAAACGGGGACGTACGAGGAATATGTACGTTGTCGCGTCCTGTTAGCGAAATTACGACGGCGACGTTGAAGAAGAAATTGTTGCGCAAGGGGGTTGCGTTTCAACGACGAACGTTACAATGTTGTAGTTTATTCGACGAACCACGCTCCCCCCGGCGTAGTCCTGTGTTGACTTTACAAATTGGATAAGCCTTGAAATATTTAATTTAAGTTATGTAATTGACGGATTAAAGTTTTTCGATTTCAAGTTTCGAAGTGCAAATACTGTATGCGTACGACGAGACCTTTACGGTGACAAAGTAAAGCAGACGAGAGTGTGCGATACACAAAGTGGAGAAAAAGTAGAGAGATATTGCAGGGAAAATAGGGGAGAACGTTGAGTGGAGAAGAGAGAGAGAGAGATTTGATCTTCCGGCGTCGTGGTTTTTACACTTCGATACGGTATTTTTTATTATAATTTCGCTGTACGCCGCGTTGTTCGCGGTTCCCGTTTTTCTGATATATTATATTATACATATTTATATATATTATATTATATTATATTATATATATTTTATATATATTATATTATATTATATCTGTCTCTTATACACATCTAGATGTGTATAAGAGACAGTTATATTATATTATATATATTTATATATATCATATTATATATATATATATATATATATATATATATATATATATATATATATATATATATATATATATATATATATATATATATATATATATATATATATATATATATATATATATATATATATATATATATATATATATATATATATATATATATATATATATATATATATATATATATATATATATATATATATATATATATATATATATATATATATATATATATATATATATATATATATATATATATATATATATATATATATATATATATATATATATATATATATATATATATATATATATATATATATATATATATATATATATATATATATATATATATATATATATATATATATATATATATATATATATATATATATATATATATATATATATATATATATATATATATATATATATATATATATATATATATATATATATATATATATATATATTATATATATTTATATATATTAAATTATATTATATATATTTTATATATATTATATTATATTATATATATTTATATATATTAAATTATATTATATATATTTATATATATTATATTATATTATCTATATTTATATATATCATATTATATTATCTATATTTATATATATCATATTATATTATATATATTTATATATATCATATTATATTATATATATTTTGTATAAATCATATTATAATATCTAAATTTATATATATCTCATTATATATTATCTATATTTATATATATCATATTATATATATATATATATATTATCTATATTTATATATATATCATATTATATTATATATATTTATATATATCATATTATAATATCTATATTTATATATATCGTTATATAATACACATGAATTAGAACGGCAGGCTCCCGAGAAGCAATTTTAATTAAATTTACATTCTACAATTTGTGCCGCGGATCTTTGTTTCCATGCTCCGGCGAATCCCTTCGGCCAACTTCCCGCCGTATCCTTTGTCGTGCTCGCAGCTTCTCGTCGAGATAAAGCTCATTGGAAAATGAGGCAAGAACTGCAGCCGCGATAAAGAGGAACGTCGCGTGTGCCACGAAGGATAAGAGCTATCGCAAACGTAGAAATTAGTTTGCTCGCTGAACTAGTCCGCGAACTTCCGCGACGTTCGTTGAAATTGTTTCGTCGAGGTTTCTCGTGTATAAATGCTGATACGCCGCGGTTCGTCCAGAGAACCACCCTCGTGATACGGGGTTGATATGACGCCTAGGGTCGGGCACACGCGTCTCTCACCACCACCACCGTGTGGCAGACGTGTACAGTGCACAGTGTACAGGGTTCAGGGCACACAGTGTACACACCAGCTTCTATTCGCCTCCCCATTGTGCGACCGAATACGTCTGCCCACGCGATGACCCGAGATCCTCGGGGGCTATCCTTGAAATCTTCTTCCACGTCAAGATTCTGCACGTCGTCCTCTCTACCAGCGTCCCGTATTGCTTCGAGACGATTCCCCTCCCCCCAGCCACCCTCTAATTGACTCCTTCCGAACGCTATTGACACTGTCGACGAAACTCCTCGTTCGTTGTCCGGATCGACGAGAAGTCCACTCGAAACGATCAACGTTACAGCCTTCGCCGATCGACTGATCAGTTCTCAATAGATCGTCTCGATAACTCGTTAATTCTCTCCAATTGAGCCGTTTATTGTGAAAGTGGCATAAGTCACTTTTTCAAAAGAATCGAGTTAATGGTAACACTAATTACAATTGAACGGTATCTTTTCATTTAAAAAAAAAAGAAAAAAAAGTGACTTATGCCACTTCCAAAATAAACGGCTCAATTGTCGCTCGACGTGTACAACAAAATTCTCCCTAATCGACGCTCAGCTTGTACACTAAGAATGGACAATTTGCGAAGAGGCGACACGATTATTCGAGCCTCGCGGCTCGTTTTTATAGTTACCGATCGTCGTTACCAATGAAAAACGAGCCGCGTCCATTTTTGGTTACCAGCCGAAGAACAATCGGGGAGAATTTACCGTACTTTGCGGGAGCGACTTTCGCGGAACGTGTGCATGCTCCGTGATAGCGGCCAGCAGGTTAAGCTCGGGGAACGAAATAATGTACAGCGTGAACTCTCGCCTCCATTATTTCCGCAATTATTGTTGATGCTGTTATAGCTGCGAGGTCGCTCTCGCTCTCGATCGAATTCTCGGTCGATGAGAGGCGGACATTTCGTTGACGAGGCCGGAATAAAAAAATATTCCAGCTGTTCGTTTACTTGCAAGAATGTATTAGCACCCGTTCGGGATATGCCGGGCGACGCTGGTAAAATTGCGGCTCCGGGGGTTTCCGTATTCAGTCCCTGCTTCTTCTTCAGCCTCCGCAACAGGCCGGACGCCCACGCAGCTTCGTCCCTCGTTACGCCCACGAACAACCACCCGACGCCCACGCGTTCTGCTCTGCCTTTCGCTCCGCTGCAGAGCAAGAAGATACAGACGTGTGTGTGTGTGAGTGCGCGCGCGCGTTTGTGTGCGAGAGAGAAAGAGAGAGAAGTTGACGCGGTAAACTTTTTCCTTCTTTCTTCCCCTCGTTTTTCCACCCTCACGGTGACGTCCGACGACCAACGACCGACGATGTTACGTCGCGCGAAATACTTATCGTCCTCGACGAGATATCCACGAACGTCCAACACGCCCACGAATTCGCTAATTTTTTAATCTCGATCCTTGATCGTTTCCTGCGTTTCCTCGTAGGTCCATCGATTCTCGTTACGCGAGAACATCGTTCTTCGCGGAGTACTGGTATCGTTGTACAGTCTTTCGTTCTCCGTGGAGAAACTAATGCAGTAATGTCTCTCTAATTGACGCTCAGATTTTGTCCACAGAAATAGACAGTTTGGGAAGAGGAGATACGATTATTCGATCCTTGCGACTCGTTTTTGTAGTTACCGATTGCCAACGATCATAAAAACGAGGTGCAAGGCTCGGATAATCGTATCTCCACTTCCCAAATTGTCCACCTTTGTGCACAATATGAGCGCGAATTAGGGAGAAATTACTGCACAATAAATTCTTCCTAATTGACGCTCAGCTTGGACAATTTAGGAGGAGCAGATACGATTATTCAAGCCTTGTGACTCGTTTTTATAGTTACCCATTTTCAACAATTATAAAAACGTGCCGCGAGGCTCGAATAATCGTATCTCCACTTCCCAAATTGTCCATTTTTGTGCACAATCCGAGCGTCAGTTAGGGAGACATAACTGTACACAAGCTTCTATCGTTCATTTTAGTAGAAGAAGATCGAGAGGAAAGCATTCGACGCGACCCTTTAACTCGATCGCGATCTATTCGTTGCACGCCTCGTAAACGCGGAACAGGTGGCGGCGGCGTGTGGTTGCGCGAACTGAAACGCGCGACCGGGATAGGAATCGGGATGGGGATGTTCCCGGAAGCGGGCGCTTCTCGATGTAAACTCGATCGTTTGCTCGGGAATACAGCCGCTTCTCCGTAATTGACCTATTTCAGGTGCCGAAGAATCGGCTGGACGCTTGCGCGAATGCTGGACGACGTCGACGAAAACTAAATCGTCGGGATTGTACGGGCAATTGTTAACATTAAAACGAAATGTATCATCTGCGACACGACGGCGATTCCAGCTGGATATTATTCGTTGGCTTATAGAGTGCGATGTCGCAATATTGGTCGGCGGCTCGAACGGATTATCCCGACGGGAAAATGCTTTCAAACCCTTAGAAATTTAATGCGACGCGACGCGGCGTGGCGCAGCGGCAGCTAATAAAGCCATTAAAAAGATAATCAACATGGCCCGAGGATAGCACGCGGTGAAAATTGCGGCTCCTGGGGACAGCGGTCTGTAAAGTGTAGAGGCTGATTTTTCCATGGATTCGGAGAAAGTGCATCCCCCGTTGGCAACGCAGACCGCGCAGGGTGTGGCCTCTCATTTTTCCCGACACTTGGCCGTGAAATTAGCTGGGATCGCGTGTGCCCCTTCCCTGACCTTCGACCCGCGCTTTTCGTGTTTTCCCTCCGCGGGCGAACGTTGTTTTCGCTGCGTCGCGTTTTCACTGCTTTCGATTCTCTCGCTAATTATCCCTTGGGCCCGACGATAGCCCTACAATCACGGTATTGTAATCTAATAGGAGGTGTTTGAGTATTCAGTCTTCCTTTTGTTCGTTGTTCCTGATAAATATAATATATATCGAGTTTTAAAAGTCCAGTAATCAATCAACGATTAATTAACGGTAGAACTGCCAAGTTCTAAATGCGACTAGTTTGTATTTCCTTGAAAAATAACAAGACCGTATCAATCGCAACATTTTCGTTACAATATACAGCCGAATAAACAAATATATCCAATACTTGTAAGTGTTGCAATCCGAATAATTATAAAGTGAAGAATGCGAATTTCGCTATTACGTCGGGTCTGGCTGAAAAGTGTTTCCTTTTTTCCACTGTGAAAGGTAGTCTCCCCTATGGGCCATTTCGTGGCACGCCCCAATAAATGAGGAACGAAATTCGTGACGTCGAATGTACGTCGACCGCGACCGCGTAAACAGAACTTTTCTAGGAACGCTGGGACTCTGTCGCGTCTTTTGCGTCACGGTCGCACAGACAGTCAATGAAGAGGGAAGAAAATGGAAGGTGGGGAGGAGGTGGGTGGCGGTGGGAGGAGTGAGGAGGCCGACGCTCGTCCCGTCGCTTCCGGTAAAACGGCGAGAGTTGATTTACACGTCGCCGGAGTTCGATTAATTTGTGCGCGGAATAGCGCCGAGCGGAAAGGACAGGATGAGATCGAGAGGATCGGGAGGACCTCCGTCGCCCGGTAATTACATGAGAGTTCCGTAAAATAATACAATCCGACGTGCCCGACGTACCGAAGGTTGGTCTCTTCTCCTCTCCTCTCTCCGCTCTTCTCCTTTGACGTGCCATGTCCTCTCTCCTACCCTCGGCCACCATTGACGTCACCCGTTGATTCTAGAAACGACGAATCCCCGTATTTTCGAGGACCTGTCGGGAGTGGGGATGTACAAGCTGCGCGGAGATCCTGAAGCGGTGGGAGAAACCAGGATCCAGGGATGTTTCAATCACGGGTTCTGGTCCGAAGGATCCGTTTTCAGAATTCTAAATTCTACAACCAGGGTTTGACATCATAAATTTCATTTATTCGGATCTTCCAATCAGGACTCCGGACGCGAGGGTCTGAATTTTTGATACAATGTCATGTAAACGTGTGAAGTTACTCGTGAAATTCTATTTCTATTGCTTTCTATAATTTTTTAGCTTTCAAGAATACTTTTCAAACGATAATCGAATTGTACAAGGGTCAACAACGCGTCGCACGATTTATTTTTGAGGTTAAATGCGTACAACTGGACAATCATGTGTAATAAATCGTGCATTGTCGAACGATTACCGTTTTCAGAAATGAGAATCCGCATGAATTGTTTAAGGCGCACAAACTTCGCAACGCAAACCAGATGTGTGAACGCATTTGTTCGGTCGTCAGTAGTACAAGTCGGCGTTGGGTCAGGCATTTAGCTTCGTCGGTACTACCCTGGCAAGCGGAAAACGTTGCCAGCTAAGGAAACAGGATATCCCTGGGGAATAATAGATCGATGCTTCGACCTGTATAGTAAGGCAAGGGACGCCTGTTGATATAAAACATGAGTAACTTCATTCATGAAAATAGCTGAACGCGAACACGTTGCGCAATTTCGCAATCTACCCGACATTTCGAATTCAACGAAATGGTACATTTCATACATACGAAACGCCGCGAAATTTTTGTGACGACTATTACCGCCGTTGCGAACAAACAAAAATTCCATTAATATTAATCCAAGATAACCTTCCGTAAAAATTTGCGATTCTGCTCTCAGTTTACTCGTACCTTTTATCTGCGAGGAACATTGTTGGCTTGCAGTTTCACGTGCACATGAAATGTCAAAGTTCTGTTTGTTCGTTTTTTCCATTTCTTTGTCAGAACGGCGGGAGAAATATACGGATTTTAGAAACATATGTACAAAATCATTTAATTATTCATTTTACGAAAATTTGGAAAATGTATTAAATCGATTAGGCTAAAAGAATCTCGTAATGAATACGGTGTACATAATTGAACAAGATTTCGAAGTAATTCGCGTACTCACTCACGACTTACGATGCACGAAATACAATCGTTAAATAATCACCGCCGCACTCGATATTGAACTTGGGTTGCTGTACCGTATTCTTTGGCAATTCAAATTTTTTCGAAATGTCCGCGCTCCGGCACTGCCAGTTGAAATCGAAACAAGATGACAGCATCGACGACGATTCGAGTGTAGGAAGGTTAGATTTTGTAAATATACAATACGGCTACCAAGCTGATGACGTTAGAGGCTACACGGAAAATTTTCATACAAGAAAACAACTAAATCAACACCAGATGATTAATATTTAGGATAACTGTTGTAATAATCAGTTGAGTGAGCGACAAATACGAACAAAAATGGCGAAGCAATCGTATAGTATCGTCATATCGTATGGAAAAAGAGAAAGAGGCAGCTGTGGCTATTGTAAGAACTCCAACACGAGCTTCAGTCATGGTAAGTACAAATATTAGAAATATTCCTCTGTTTAAATAACAATTTATATTACCAATATATACGGTCGTATCGTTTTGTCAAACTGTCGTCTATAGGTTAGGTCTCCTTCATGACAGGTAACACGTCACACGTTACACATATGTGGACTCGTTATTATGTTAAAAACTGTACAATGAAAGAGTTAATATCGTTTATGGGTAGCTTTTTCTATTCTGAGGTTGGCATGTTTCAGGCATGCAGTCGATTATCATGCAAGTACAAGATTATCAAGCTTTAATGGACAGAGGCTGGAGACGAAGCTCTGGTTACTGCTATAAACCATGTATGGATCTATGTTGCTGTCCCTCGTATACTATCAAGTGAGCATACTGAAGTTATACAATAATACATAAAATAAATATCTATGACCGACTCATAATTATGTACCCTAGATGCGAAGCATTGAATTTTAAGATCACGAAGTCACAAAAAAAGATCTTGAAGAGAATGGGAAAATTTCTTCGAAATGAACTGCAGAAGGACGATCTAATGGACACGAGTGAAGAAGAACGAGATAATATCGGTAAGGCCACCATTTATTTGTAGATCTGAAACAGTGGTATAGAGTTGTCTGACATATTGTTGTTTTCACGTAGAAATCAATCATGTTACTCACCATAATAAACATCTGGAGGAAAGTACTCCTGACATAACAGTCAATGCTGTGGACGACGAAGTTATCACGAGATTACAACCTACAAATTCGGAGAAAGCTGCTGAATCTAATTCGGCAATGCAGCAAAAGCAGTCTGAAAGTATATCTCGGGCAGCGAGTCAGAACGAGAACAGTCAAGCAGGCTCCAGAAGCTTGGAGCATGTAGAAATGAACACAACCAGAGCACCCTGTAAAAAAGCGAAACTTTTGCGCATAGAGCGTAAGCAGAACAAATTATTGGCTCAAGGCAAAACTCAAGCAGAAATAGATGCTATGTTCAGGAAAGACAAGCAGCAAAACCAGGGAAAAAGTTTGGAGGAACTATTTGATGAAACGTTGAGAGGAACAAATAGATTGGAGGTGAGCCAGTTATATTGCTCCTGTTGATTGCATTAGCTCGGTATTATATATATATATATATATATCATAAGTTGGTCCTCTTTTCTCCAATTTTTTTTTTTCATTTAGAAGAAAAAGTTAGCTTCAAATTAATTGGAAGTATTAGACGCAGAATGGGCAAGAAAGTATTATGTATATTCTCTTACTTTCTTTTTTCGTTTTTCTTAAACTTCATTATAGTTCAATTTTCTTTGTGTACAAATAAATATATGTTAAATTTTTGCACTTTTGTAAGCTCAAACTAGTTAGAACCTCGCCAATGAGCTCCGAATACCTAAAGACTGCACAACAGTCATTTGAGGTATACAAAAAATATCAGACAACAATACACGAAGTTCCAGAGCAGATAGTTACAGAGAAACAGTATGTGGGATTTCTTGTGAAATCACCTTTACAGGTAATTTTATCATCTCTATTTCTTTTCATCGTTTGGCTGTCCTAAAGTTTCATAACTCGATCCAAATATTGCATATGCACTCACCCTGTGTTTGTCAATTCGCTATCACACAGACGACGTGATAATATCATACATAATTCCAACGATTGGAGCAAAGTGGACCGTTTTACGATTTATGTTGTCTGTTCATTAAATGATCGTCTTTTCTGTTAGATCAAATTGGTCAGAATAAAGTCCGACGAATTTCTCGAATCGTTCGACGCGACCGCAGACCTTTATAAAAAATATACGATGGCTATCCATGGGGAGTCGGAAGATACATGCGATAAAAAGTCTTTCCTCTACTTTTTTGTACAGCATCCTCTAGAGGTACACTTTGTATTCAACCAGCTACTTTATTTAATTCGATTCACGATGAGCGATTATTTCTTTAGAGCTTGCACAAATTATGTATGATATTACCTTTGGGATGATGTCTTTTTTCTTTGTCATTTCTCGTAACGACGTTTAACAGTTTACCTACTCTTCGTACACAATTGAAACGACCATTACTATTGTCGGTCAGGAATCGATTGAGAGATTCTCATCGGTAGAGTTTACAAAATTATAATGTACTCACCGGTAGGTAAGATGTTAATCGGTATCTATACGCTGCTCGTAGAATTCACAATTATATTTCTGATTTTTAAGCCATGGACACCGGAGAATGGACCACCGTGTGGTTACGGTGCGTTTCACGAGCAATACTGGTTAGACAATGAATTGATAGCCGTCGGAGTAATAGACATTTTACCGCATAGCGTTTCAAGTGTGTATTTCTTCTACGACCCGGCATATTCTTTCCTGTCTCTCGGAACGTTTAGGTCAGTGCAGTCGCCTTCGTTTAACAATTATCCTTTATCGTGCGTTACACGGATCCGTACAACATATTTGTTACTGCTGTGCAGCTCTTTGCGAGAAGTCTACCTGACAAGGCAATTGAATAAATGGGCAAAGGATTTGCAATACTACTACATGGGATTCTATATACACTCTTGCCCGAAAATGAGGTACAAGGCAAGAATGAAGCCGTCGAAGTTGCTCTGCCCTGAAACTTACGAGTGGTTTGATATCGATCCCTGCATCAAGAAGTTGGACAAAGAGAAGTATTGTAGGTTCAACGAGGACCTCGACGCCATTGATCAAGATGCTATAGTCGACGTCGACAAGGTATTGGAACAACGCAGGACGTCCCATTTAAAACAGTTCTCCCGATGAATCTTGTCAAATAATCGTAAAACGGTTTCGAGGACCACAATTTCATGTAATTAGTTTTTTTGTAGGTGGACGCGTAGAGGTGGATACGATGGTCGACACTGTGTTTCTCGTAATTGGATAAGTGGTATTGAGCTGCTAGTCGAGGGGGGCTGTTTTAAATAGAAAAATTCTGATAAAATATTTGAATGATCAAAGAAACGTAAACGAAAATACTATCAAGTCGATTTAAAAGTTTCCGTCGTTTCCATTAATCGATCATCTGTTGTCAGGTGCTGGTTGTGTATCGGCAAATAGCGATGCCGTACAGAATCTACAGAGAACGAGTTCAGCAGTCGATAATAGAAGCGGAAGAAGAAAAACAGGAAATCGAAGAGTACGCGACACTCGTAGGAATGAAATGTGCTCAACGAATGCTGCTTTACCGTACTTAAGTCAGCGACACGAAACAAAAAAAAAAGAGGCAGAGAGAACGTATTTTTTTCTTGTGTATTTATCTGTTTTTTCCTGAAACAAACACGTTGTCCGTTTTAGCAAGTATTGTTAAAAACAACAGATCTTTCTGCATCCACAGCAAAACGCTACAGAGCATAGCTTTCATCGATTAGCGAATGCGCGCAAATATTTGCAATCGAATGTAACGTAGCGTCAATTAACTGTGAGTCGAGATGTAATGTAGCGGTTTCCAATCGAGTATTTGTGACGATTCATGTATAGAATATGCTAATAAAACTTCCTAATAAAATTATCGCTTCTGTTCCGCGAATACTAGGCACTAGAGGATAATGTTAATCCTTTGCACTCGAAGCCATTTTAATGTACATTTATAATATATATTATAAATATTATATATAATATATATTATATATATTACATATATATAATAAATAAAATATTGTAAATTTGAAATAATTTTTCTGAGTTATAGTATTTCCACTTTACATGACAAAGTGCACATTTTATGCATATGAAATGTCCGTTCTTCCTCGGCTTGTCGATTATGCCTAGATCAGAGGTTTCGTGCTTCCGCGGTCAGAAGTGTAGCGTGAGCGTACGCGCTTCCACGTTCTATGGCACCTTCGGGTGAATACAAAGATGTACCATTTGTACAAGCGTTAAAGTACATAAAAACTCTATTTTACAATCAGAGCCATCATGAACTTGATCTTACAAGAGTTAATAGCGAGACTCTTTTATATTGTACATATTAGCTGGGGCCTACATTTATCTTAATATATTATATTATATTTATCTTTATATATTATTTTTTTTTTTTAAATCCGAACTTTGTTAGTTTAAAAATTATCTTCGAACATGACATAACAATTTCATGCGGTGCCTCAGATTCACCGCTCGAGTGCAAAGGGTTAGTTCCGAAGGAAAGACGCAAGTGCGATTTAAACGTACTTTATTATTGCATGTAAGAGTCCAATAATCGCTGGTATATTAAAACATTCGAAATCTCGTATAAAATAAAGAATTACATTTAGCATAGAAAGTTGTCGTTGCGCGGACAACGTGTCTTGTACTATAAATTTCACGCTCGAACGAGTTACGCGTGACAAGGCGATAGATTACTAAAACAAACAAAAAAATAAAAGAAACGTGACACGCATCGTCCCGTCGTTTGCTAAAAATATTCCACACCGAAGATCCGGCCCGGTGAGTGAAAGTTCATTTGGTCATTGCGTAGGGGTTGTAGATGGTCGTTGTCTCGAGCTGCAGCTTCAAATCATTTTCACGTCACGTCGAAGCTTAATTCCTGCGACCTCGTTCCGCCTCGTCCTCGTCCTCGCGGATCTCGTTCCAACTCTGGATGTTCCCGCTGCCGCCGACGATGAAAATCACCATGCAGCAAATGCAGACACCGGCTCCGATCCAGAACAGTATCTGCCACTTCTCTATGGGATTCTAGAACGAATCGACAAGCGCTGTCAACTGCGAACCCGTTATCAAACGTGCGATATCGCGAAGCGTTCAAGCATTCGACACAATCATAGTTATACGGGCAACCGTCACAGCATATAAACGGTACACAGAATTCCTTAAAAGGACCACCCATCAATCGGCGGTCTCGGCTAGGTCAGCAGTTGTTTAAACAGACCATTCGCGCTATAAGTTGGTTTACCGGATGACCACAACACATACCCAGACCTCGTGTGCAACGTGTAATGGTGCGATGCAATGGACAGAGCGACGATGCAATGATGTGTGCATGAAGGTGCTAGTGGATACAACTGAGTGGTACTATTCNGTGCTTCCGCGGTCAGAAGTGTAGCGTGAGCGTACGCGCTTCCACGTTCTATGGCACCTTCGGGTGAATACAAAGATGTACCATTTGTACAAGCGTTAAAGTACATAAAAACTCTATTTTACAATCAGAGCCATCATGAACTTGATCTTACAAGAGTTAATAGCGAGACTCTTTTATATTGTACATATTAGCTGGGGCCTACATTTATCTTAATATATTATATTATATTTATCTTTATATATTATTTTTTTTTTTTAAATCCGAACTTTGTTAGTTTAAAAATTATCTTCGAACATGACATAACAATTTCATGCGGTGCCTCAGATTCACCGCTCGAGTGCAAAGGGTTAGTTCCGAAGGAAAGACGCAAGTGCGATTTAAACGTACTTTATTATTGCATGTAAGAGTCCAATAATCGCTGGTATATTAAAACATTCGAAATCTCGTATAAAATAAAGAATTACATTTAGCATAGAAAGTTGTCGTTGCGCGGACAACGTGTCTTGTACTATAAATTTCACGCTCGAACGAGTTACGCGTGACAAGGCGATAGATTACTAAAACAAACAAAAAAATAAAAGAAACGTGACACGCATCGTCCCGTCGTTTGCTAAAAATATTCCACACCGAAGATCCGGCCCGGTGAGTGAAAGTTCATTTGGTCATTGCGTAGGGGTTGTAGATGGTCGTTGTCTCGAGCTGCAGCTTCAAATCATTTTCACGTCACGTCGAAGCTTAATTCCTGCGACCTCGTTCCGCCTCGTCCTCGTCCTCGCGGATCTCGTTCCAACTCTGGATGTTCCCGCTGCCGCCGACGATGAAAATCACCATGCAGCAAATGCAGACACCGGCTCCGATCCAGAACAGTATCTGCCACTTCTCTATGGGATTCTAGAACGAATCGACAAGCGCTGTCAACTGCGAACCCGTTATCAAACGTGCGATATCGCGAAGCGTTCAAGCATTCGACACAATCATAGTTATACGGGCAACCGTCACAGCATATAAACGGTACACAGAATTCCTTAAAAGGACCACCCATCAATCGGCGGTCTCGGCTAGGTCAGCAGTTGTTTAAACAGACCATTCGCGCTATAAGTTGGTTTACCGGATGACCACAACACATACCCAGACCTCGTGTGCAACGTGTAATGGTGCGATGCAATGGACAGAGCGACGATGCAATGATGTGTGCATGAAGGTGCTAGTGGATACAACTGAGTGGTACTATTCGTACTATAATCGATTACAGATATAGAGACGAGCAGTACCGCATCAGTCGTAACCACCGTCGACGATGCATATAAGAAAACAAGCGATTGTTTATGTTAGTACGCAGCCATTTTTCACCAGTTTTGTTATATACTATATGGATATTATGGGTCAACGATGCGCGACGGAATCGCCGGATGCGAGCATTACTTGCAATTTTGCTGGTTACGCGTGCCGCAGAGCGAACAGTCTCCGACGAGCGAAAAAAAGCTGTTTTTCGTTTGAAAACGAGACAATTGCGACATTACGAGAACGAATCAACTCCGGATGGATCGCGTACACAATCTCTCAGTACTGCCCGTACTACGAATTACGCAACATAGTACAAGGCAGTACCGAGTTTTCGAGTACGCTAAAAGCATTTCGTTAACTACCGTGCTAGATCCTCTAAAAACTACACTGTCGCGAAATGGAAAACGGAGACGTTACACGCTAGTACAACAGCCGTAAGAAAACCGCAGATTTTAGCGAAACATGTTCACCGCATTGTACAGGAGAGATCTTTAAAAAAAACGAGCAGAATTAAGCAGTTCGAGCCGCAAGTTGCCAAATTCGATGGCGCAATGATTAGTTTAATGAGATATGAGAAACGTTAATCGGTGTGCGGTGAAAAGCTGGTGGAAACGATTTCTATATTGCTTGCAGCAGCAACAAGAAGGAATATTAATACTTACCCCGTACTTTCCAGCGATCTCTTCGACCATCGGGGAGATGATCATGCCGGACATACAGCCGACCGCGTTCATCAAACCGTAGATGAAACCGGCGAAGTTCGGCGACAGGTCCTGATTGTTGGACAGATTCGAGATGGCAGCGGCGCCGTTGAAGCCGAGAGCGAGCACCAGGAACACGTTCGCCAGGAGAAACCGGCAGCCGACGTAGCCGACCAAGATCAGGAAGAGGCCGGGTATAAAGTGAGCTAAAACGACACCGATCAATGAACCCTCTCGATCGAAGAAGAGTTTCCACCGAAGAGTATCCCCGTGTAACTAAGAGGCATCATCGCTCACAGAAAACGGTCGCGGCTTTTCTCAGCACGGTGACGCTGACGATCTGCTTGCGTTTCAAGACATCGCCGGCCCAGCTGAAGAAGAAGCCCAGGAGCATCCTGCATGCCCACGGCAAGCTAGCGGCGATGCCTCCTTTGGTCAACTGGAAGCCGAGCGCCTTCGTCAGGTAGAGCATCATCGCGTTCTGATAGAAGAACAGCAGAAACAGGTTGCCGAAGTGGCAGCAGACCAGGCTGAGGAACGGAACCGAGGTCAGGATCGCCTTGATAGGCGTCTCTTTGAGCGACGGTTTCTTCGTCCTCACTGTCCCCGCCTGAGCCCTGAAACACAAACGAGCGTACCTCCTTTGTTAACGACTTCGGCGACCATGGAAAACCGACAGATAAAACTCTACCGACTGTAGAATGTACTGCTTCTCCTCCTCGCTGATTCCAGGGTGCTCGGCGGGCGAGTCGTAGGTGAGCACCGCCCAGAACGCGATCCACACCATCATCAACAAGGCGGGGATGTACCAGCCGCTCTCCCACATCAAGTTGTCCGCGATCATGGCCACCATAGGGTAGGTGAGAATCGTGCCGAACGTGCCGCCGAGCAGCGACCACACGAACCTCGACTTCTCGTCGGGCGGGGCCCACTGGGCCACCAAAGAATGGCACGCGGGGAACGTGACACCACCCGCCAGACCCACCACCACCCTGGACAGCATCAGGACCACCCAGTGCATCTGTGCCAAGAACGGGCTCACCAGGGAGACTACAGCGGCCGCCACCGAAGTCCAGAGGATCGCGTGCTTCGGTCCCCAACGGACCGCCATCATTCCTCCAAGGAAGTTACCGGGAACGTTCCCGTAACTGTAGGCAGCTATCAGCTGACCCCTGACCTCCGGCTTCCAATCGAACGGCTCTCCGCTGACCAACCTCAACCTTGAACCCGATGGTTTCGCATCGACCTCCTTGGCTCCACCGCCATCTTGTCGCGGGAACCGAATGTTGGTCAGCGCGGCCTCTTCTTCGGCTCGTAGGCGCTCCGAGAGGATATAGTCCTCCAGCTGGGCGCCAGGATCCAGGAAGGATATCGCGCGACGCAGTCGAGAGTCCTCGACACACGCGCCGCCGGTCTCGTTAACGGCGCCAGCCTTGATCATCGGCACCGCCAGGATAGGCATCTGCAACCGGCACATATAGTTCGTCCAGCAAGCCGAGAACATCATCACGCAGATGACCACGCGCGATGGGATCCATCCTGAAAAAAGCACAACGAGTTCAGAATGTTTGTTAGACGATAAAAGCTCGACGATTGAGTAGCCTCTTCCGGTTTCTTTTTAAAGGAAAACTGCTACTATTCGCGAACATTCGGAAAGGGGAATATTTTTGAGCAGATCGCGAATAGGTTCGGACCAACCTCGTCGGTCGTGTCGTGTCTTACTTAGCAACCTCCATATCCCGGAATCCGGACCGGTGAAGAATTCCGAGATGCCGGAAGCGCCTTCCTGGATAGAATTCAGAATAAACATTGATCGCCTCGATCGAGAATAGGTTCTACCGAAATGAAAAGAATAGGAGACCACGATGTACCGGCTAGAAACATTGGGATTGCCATACCAACTGTTCGATGTTTCTCGTGTTCGACTGTTTGAAATTCCAATTTGAATTGTTACGTCTATGAGCTGAAACCGCTAATTCCTTCTACGTATTGCATGCACGGGTGACACACGGCCATGTGCGCGTGCATGTACGGATTATAGAAATGTACGGAGAGAATCGACGCCGGCGAAGAAGAAGTAGAAGAGTAGTACACGGCCGCCTTTGAAATTCTAGGCTTGTCGGCGCTTTTCGGTTTCGAGCGGAATACCGGAGCGAAATCGAATCTCCCGGATACGCGTTACGAAATCGTTCATCAGACAATCGATTTCTTTGCGAAGCGAACAATGTACCCGAACGAAACCGTTGTGGTATCCCGGAATCGAATATTCCCGGGCATGTACACCGCGTACAATCGATCTTTCTTCCACGGCAAAAAATTCTGCGCGAAAAATGTCATTTGTATCTCGCGGTTAATCGATTGCGACGTGCCTAACGCGACAAACAATAGGCGATGTACAAAGCGCAACGTACAAGACGCGATGTACAAGACCGTGGCGTACAAAATACGACGCCCTAAAAAGCGCCGTAAAAAGAACGCCGTAAAAAAAGGAAAGATGTCCGCGTGGTCACGACCTTATATTGTCCGTCGCAAATAATGAAACGTGTGCTGGTTATCGCCTTAAATATAAAATAGAATATAGCTTTTGATAAAATAGACGAAATAAACTAAACTGTGAAACGTAGCAGAGTCTTGATAAGGAAAATGAAACGCGATACTTTTCCGTAACGCGCGTCGAAACGATGATGTACATGTAGCTTTTTCCTGAGATCTATCGAATTAAAAGATAGACATTTTTGAATGATTTTGCGCGAACAAAATATTTTCGACGAATCGCAAAATAAATTGCCGTTTCATTCGTTGCTGCGCGCATCGCGCAAATTACCGCGACGAATTGAAAAAAAAAAAAGAAAAGTTCAATCAAACCCGACGCGAAACAGCTTTTTAGATACAAATGTTCTTTTTTTCTGGCTTCGATGCCGACTACGCCGCAGCAGCACAATTACAAAGGAAAGTTCTCGGGCACTTTCCATCCGGCTCTAACGCTATATTTACAAACTACCCATGCGCCATTGTTTACGAAATTGTTGCCGCCTCTAATGGTAACGATGCTACTGTTTCCTCGTAGCCTCGCGTTCTCCTGTTAGCTTCAGTTTCCGTTTCCGCGTCGGGAGAAAAAAGAAAGAAAGAAAGTTATAGCCGAACGGTGTCCCGACGAAGCGGAATTAGAGAACACTTCTCTCGTTCGAACAACAACGAAAGAAGAAACGGCCGAAGAAAAGCAAAAACGATATTTCGAGTTGTAACGAATTTAGCCGAATCGGTCGCGCTAGGTGATTAACGCGTAACACAGCTGAATAACGGTTGTCTTTTGAAACTATGCTATGTGAACCGCACGCCTGAAATTCTTCGATCGAATTCGAAGTGCAAACCAATCGAAGGCAGAGCCGGTTAACCGAAAAAACGCGGAAATATTTTTCGAACGACTCTAAAAATTCGACGAGCAATTTGAAAAATCGTAACTCTCACTCTCTAATTTCTTTGAAGGATAACGTGTCGGTTCGGCACTCACGTGGAATAAACGTCCTGTAGAACTGCTTGTACATCGTGAAGGTTCGCCGAATATTTCTTCAAGATATCTGGGACCAGACGTGGAAGCGTAGCCCTCTTCAGGACATATTTCCGAAATGTCTGCTGGTAGAGCAGGAGTCGCTCGAGGAACTTTTGTACTTGGACGCGGACGCGGAGAAGGAAACGGTACCGAATCGGTTCACTGCGTTACTGATGACACCGGTCATCCGGCTGGCGTATTTAAAGGACGAGGAAGGTGCGACGTACGTCCGAGTGGGGATGGCCAGGTACATCCCTTCCAGAACCGCGGAAAAACGGACAAGACCATTGGGCTTGCATGGGACCAACCCTACTTAGGCCATGGGGGGTTCGCTGGGTCCACAGGGGGTTTCATTTTGAAGCATGAAGGATTTATGAATTTACTCGACCTTCGTACGCGCTTCCGGTCCGTCGGGACAAGACGGACAAAGAAAGTACGGATCTTTCAGGGAGGTCGACGATGGGACAATAAACTTTCTAAAAAAAAAAGGAAAACCGACGAAGACGATGAGAAACGGAAAAATTCGATATGAAATAGAAAGAACAGCGTGGATCAAGCTGTGTGTTTCGTGGAAAAATTAAATGTGGACACACGCGAGAACGTCCTCGAAAATATAATATATAATATAATATAATATATATAAAATATAATATATAATATATTATAATATATATAAAATATAATATATAATATAATATATATAAAATATAATATATAATATATTATAATATATATAAAATATAATATATAATATATTATAATATATATAAAATATAATATGTAATATATTATAATATATATAAAATATAATATGTAATATATTATAATATATATAAAATATAATATATAATATATTATAATATATATAAAATATAATATATAATATATTATAATATATATAAAATATAATATGTAATATATTATAATATATATAAAATATAATATGTAATATATTATAATATATATAAAATATAATATATAATATATTATAATATATATAAAATATAATATATAATATATTATAATATATATAAAATATAATATGTAATATATTATAATATATATAAAATATAATATGTAATATATTATAATATATATAAAATATAATATATAATATATTATAATATATATAAAATATAATATATAATATATTATAATATATATAAAATATAATATGTAATATATTATAATATATATAAAATATAATATGTAATATATTATAATATATATAAAATATAATATGTAATATATTATAATATATATAAAATATAATATGTAATATATTATAATATATATAAAATATAATATGTAATATATTATAATATATATAAAATATAATATATAATATATTATAATATATATAAAATATAATATATAATATATTATAATATATATAAAATATAATATGTAATATATTATAATATATATAAAATATAATATGTAATATATTATAATATATATAAAATATAATATGTAATATATTATAATATATATAAAATATAATATGTAATATATTATAATATATATAAAATATAATATGTAATATATTATAATATATATAAAATATAATATATAATAATATAAATTCGATATCTCCAACGAATGCAGTTTGAAAATAGTATGCAACTCGTTCGTTACCGCAAAATTGTAACAGAAACTGCTCTCTGCAATCGGTCGTTTGAAAAGCGGCTATACTCGCGGAGAGGCGAACGTGGCGGCGGTACCGATATCTTCTTCGCTTTGAATTCAATTGAACGCAATAAGCGTCATTGCGAGCCGATGCACATTGTCGTGTGGGATGTCGTCGATTTCATATCGTCGAGAGCGCGAGCGTTCCTTCATTTTCAATGATTTTAGGATTTATGTAATTCCGCCGTGTCTCGGATTTTCGCGAGATCCCGTCCGACGCTGTCCAACATCGTAACCCAAAGCGTAACCCGATCCAAATCGAGCCGTTAATTTAAAAAACGATCGGTTTCCGCGTTCGCGTCGACGATTGTCTTCGGCGTCGATCGATCGATCGATCGGTTGTTGATCGACCGATGTCAACACAAGTCGCATCGACGCTGACCGACCGCTGTTATTTCATACATATATATATAGCAGTGCCCATGTGCTGCGTCCTTTAGCCGAGAATTTGCGAGAATACAAATAAACGAGCCCGTTTAATCCGTTCGTGTCTCCGATAGCAATCGGCGTTTTTTTTTCAAATTTTCCGCAAACCTCGGATGAAACCGTGCACGAGAAACGTTCCAACTCCAGGTAGAAGATTTTCGGGGCGCGGGGGCGGGGAGTAATTATGCGTTCGACGGCTTAACCGTTAGATCGTTTTACTCGGCGGCAGCCTCAGTGAGTCACCCTTCGACAATAAGCTCGCAAAATCCATGTCCCGGCAAAATCCTCGAACTCGAACAACGCGGCGAATAATTTCAATGGTAAATGCCGTAGAACAGCCTTGAATAGACCATGGGACCGATGGGTCGCGCCTACCTGGACCCTGGGCGCATTCAGGCTCGAAAGTTCAGGTAACGTTATCGCCCAGCAACGCTGGCTAGTTAAATATTCGTCATACAGGGTGGAAATTGACCAGGCAATCTGTTCGCTTTTTCATGAAACGTAATAATGTTACTTCTACTGCTTTAAGAATCTAGGCAAAAAAATCCATTGACTTTGTAAAGGTCGAAATATTTAGTAAACATACATATAATCATATACGAAAATATAAATTCAGGTTGCCGTTTCAAGGGGCGCTTGAAAAATAAAGATGGCGTTGCCAGCGGCGGCGACAGCGGTGGCGATTTTCTGAGTCGGGATGACAGTTTGACGCGTTATCCGAATCGGAAGGTCTGCAAGTCAATAACTTCGATCCCCGTTATTCTTTACAGAAAGGGCTACGCTTCTAATACAATCAGGAATTTTCCATACCGAACCAATCGAATGGAACGAAAATGACCCATCCTCGACCTTCGGACCTCGTTACCTGCTGTCGTTGCATCCCTTTGTTACTTCGGAGGGAAATTGTCGAGTACACAGAAAGATTGGAAATGTTCGAGAGGACAACCGATTCCTCAGGGACAAGTAGAGTCTAGTACCTTCAAGGTCAGCTTTCTCTTTTTGAACGAAACCACCTTTTTAAATGTCCCAGCTGTCTAAGCTATTATCCCCCAAGTACGGGAAAGTAAGATTTATTACATAGCTACAAATTTCTCATTCTGGTTGGACCGCTTACATTTTCGAAGCTTTTCCAGCAAGGTCAGAAAATACATAAATTTACTGTTTTTCTTTTTTTTTTTTAAGGTCATGCTAACGTAACGTTACTACAGTGTAATACCGTATTCTACAGTTTCCTGTAAAATTTGGGAAGAATTGTTGTTAAATAATGCAGATTAGAAATAATCAGTTATATGTTATATGTTTTCTTTTTTTTTTTAAGGTTAAGCTAACGTAACGTTACTACAGTGTAATACCGTATTCTACAGTTTCCTGTAAAATTTGGGAAGAATTGTTGTTAAATAATGCAGATTAGAAATAATCATTTATATGTTATATTTTTTTTTTTTTTTTTTAAGGTTAAGCTAACGTAACGTTACTACAGTGTAATACCGTATTCTACAGTTTCCTGTAAAATTTGGGAAGAATTGTTGTTAAGTAATGCAGATTAGAAATAATCAGTTATATGTACAAGTATATGCGATCACAGTAATTTTTATATGGCTCACAGATACATAATTCACTTCGGGAACGGCTGCTAGATGTCTGACCTTTCGCCGCGGATTAAGAGGTTCATCTTGCCAAGTGCCCGAAAATAATTACTTTATTTACAATTCTCCGATTAATCGGTGATACAAAATTAACTGACGATGACACGTTGGTCTTTGAGGCTACAAAGTCCAAAACCGCGACTTGATAGAAGAGAGGAAAAAATTCTTGTATCGAACAGTTGACAGTGATCATTGAACGTTCGTACTGTTCGCATTATTGTCCGAAAAATGAAAACCGGAAATCAAATCGTCGCTGAGGCCTTGAAAGATCAGGTATATGAATATTTTCTCAATTATCGACTTATTTGCTTTTTTTTGTAATTTCCGATCCTGAATCTCGCTTTTAGGGTTATGTTTTGTACACATTATATCACATTTTCTTAATAGTCGATTTCATCAACATCTGTGTTTAAAGTTCTATTTAAATAACAATTGTAATTACTTTATTATATTAAATTCCTCCACCTTGTTTCTACAACGACGTTAAATTTTCTTATCGCTTATGACAAACCGAGTAATGAAAGCATGTACAGTGTATGTATGCGCGTACATTATATTGTTTCGATAAGAAGTTTCTTTACTTCATAAGAAATAAAGCATTTGTTGTAATAGATTTATGCAGCAATTAAAGATTCAGCGATTAATGAAAAAATTTCGTTTTAATTTAAACTATCTAGAAATCGAGCCGAAACTATATAATATACTATTAATAATTGAGAAGTAATCGGCGCACAAAAAAACGAATCTAATTGGTCGTTAAGACACGTGATTCCGCTAGTGATCGAAATCGATATTTTCAAATCACAATTCGCGGATGACAACAAATCAAAATAAAACTCACGTATTATTGGCCGCGAAATAAGCGGCTGCCGTTCCTCTGTATCGCGGGGCATGATGTTCTCAATTTCACGATCTATTCTCGATTAGTGGAAAATTTAATGATCAATTTTAGAACTCCCGAAGTTCTGTAGCACTTATATCCTCTCGACGCGACGCAATAACTTTATTGATAATGAATATACAGAGAGAACATGGAATAATGATACTGACACTGATACCGAGTTTAAAATTGTTATGCATCGATTGATGTTATTGCCCTTTCAACGAGACAATTGGTTTAGCGATTGGTGAAAAAATAGATATGTTTGTGGGACGTATAATTACGTATTGATAACAACGTTAGATACGCGTTGCATTTCTTCAACTTTCTCATGCTTATCGTAATTGATGACTTCCCATCTACTCGGCTGTTCTGACACCGAACTAAGATTGTATTTTTGTAATAATAATACTATTTTGTCAATAGTATTATTATTACACAATTATATCTATGATGATAATGATAATAACGATTTTATTATAAACTCCAAGATTATTGGAAATAATATGAAATATATTGTTCAACAGGGCATCGAATATGTTTTTGGAATAATGGGACATCCTGTGATTGACCTCGCGTTATGCATGCAGGCTGTGGGTCTCCAGTATCTTGGTTTTCGAAATGAACAAGCCGCGTGTTATGCCGCCCAAGCATACGGATATCTGACCAGTAAGCGATAACACTAACAATAAATGAAGATGATTAACACGAAGCCTCGTAATTGAGAAACTTCGTGAACACCGCGATACTTTATACTTATATTTACAAGCGCGAACAACGTCATGTTCGATCAAAATTTCATTACTTTTTGCTTTAATTAGGAAAACCAGCGGTTGTGTTATGCGTTTCCGGACCAGGATTGCTTCACGTTTTCGGCGGAATGGCTAACGCTCAAATAAATTGTTGGTGAGCAACTCGAAAAGTATCTAGATTCGATGCGCGCTTTATCTTTTATTTCAAAAAGAATTATAAATTCTACTATGTTACGAGCGAGCGATTAACAGAGAACCATTAATGCAATACGTTATGACGATACGTTCGTATGTATCTCGTATCTAATAGTAATTCGATATCAGATGATTACGATCAATTACGTAACCCGGCTGCGTTCATTGTGCTATGTTATTAAAAAAAATACACTGCCCGTAAGTTGTTATATAAACATATCGTGCAGTAGCCAGGCTAAACAATTATGATACGAGAATGTTGAAACGGAGTAATCGCTGGATTTTACCATAAAATGATAACTTTATGTAAAATTATGAGAACTAAAAGAAATTGCTTTCTTATTGTTGTAACTCTGATGTAGAGTGCTGTCGATGACACGTATCTAGAAAATTCATCAAAGTATAAATTCTGTACAGGCCAGTCATAGTTATCGGCGGATCCTGTGCCGAGGATCACGAGGGTATTGGCGGTTTTCAGGAATGGCCTCAGGTAGAAGCCAGTAAGCCCTATTGTAAATACGCCGCTAGACCACCGATGGCGTCTCTCGTACCACTTCACGTGGAAAAGGCCTTTCGCCTGTCTACTTACGGTCGCCCAGGTATGTCTATCGTCAGTAATTTATAACTGTCAAGACAATGCTTTGTACAACTCGTCGTTCGTGCTCTCCGCAGGGGTAGCGTACTTGGACTTACCGGCCACCATATTGAACCAAACTGCCGACGAAGGAAAAATATACAAAGCTAACCGTTGCCCACCGCCCCCATTGATATTTCCTGATCATCGATTGCTACAAGAAGCGGCCGATTTGCTCATGAGAGCAAGGAAACCGCTCTTGATCGTTGGAAAAGGTTCATGTAGTTTTTACGTATCGAACACAATTATATCTGTTAGTTCGTCCTTCTTAGATTAAGAAAACTCTACTTTTCAAATATGTAGGAGCTGCGTATGGCAGAGCAGAAAAAGAAATTTGTAGTCTCGTGTATTCAACTGGTATTCCTTTTCTTCCAACACCAATGGGAAAGGGTGTTGTTCCGGATACTAATGAACGATGCGTTTCCAGTGCAAGAACTTTTGCGTTGCAGCAAAGCGATGTTATCTTGCTACTGGGCGCTAGACTGAACTGGATGTTACATTTTGGCAAACCGCCTCGTTTCCAACCGGACGTGAAAGTCATACAGGTATTATACATACTATCGCTTGCTACGAACACAAATTAAAAGTTTGAAAATATATTCATCATAGGTTGATATTTGCCCTGAAGAACTGCATAATTCTGTAACCTCTGCTGTTGCGATCCAATCCGACGTCTCTACTGCAGTCGATGGTCTCGTTAGCATTCTGAAAGCTCGCAATTGGACTGTTGAGGATAGCAATCCATGGTGGCGAGATCTTCTAACCAAATCTAAGAAGAATAAAGCAGTAGTTCATGTAAATAATACTGCAACCTTGATTCATTGTTGGCATTAGGATTCGTGTAATCTTTTTTCGTTTACATTTTGTTTTTTCTTTTGTTTTTAAGGCAATGACGATGGATGTTTCCGTACCTTTGAACTATTACACTGTCTTTAAACATATTCAGGACATTCTTCCACCAAGTTAATGTCACTTTTAGTATAAATAAATCTTAACATATTCAGTGGCAAACGAACGGTATAAATTATTTACGTTCATTGATATTTTTTAGATTGCATTATTTGTTCGGAAGGGGCCAACACAATGGATATAGGGAAAACGGTGTTATTAAATGACGAACCGCGACACAGATTGGACGCGGCTACCTTCGGTACTATGGGGGTGGGATTAGGTTTTGGCATTGCCGCCGCCCTTTATTGTAAAAACAATGCACCCACGAAGAGAGTAATTTGCGTAGAAGGCGACAGTGCCTTTGGATTCTCTGGCATGGAAATTGAAACAATGTTCCGGTAAAGTTTAATGCGTCGAAGGAAAAAGAAAACTATTATTTTGTTTGGACATGACAAATTATTTCTTATGATTTTAATGTTTCAGATATAAGTTACCTATCATCATTATTATTGTTAACAATAACGGTATTTATGGTGGCTTGGACAATGAAACATTCCGACAGTTGCAGGCTTCTGGCGAACCTACACAGGTGTACGTTTCTAAAAATATTATTTTATCAAAGTACTATATTGTAGACTGATTTTTCATTTTGGTTTTAGTACACCACCATTTTCGTTAACTTGTGAAACTCATTACGAAAAGATGATGGAAATGTTTGGCAGAAAAGGACACTTTTGCACAACTGTCAAAGATATACAGCAAGCAGTAAAGTCGTGCCTTCAGGTATGCATGACCAGAGTTTCAATTAATTATGGGGACACAATTGTTTTTATTGTATGCTATTTTCCAGGTAAACGATTCTCCCAGCTTAATAAATATTATGATCCATCCTCAAGCCGACCGCAAAGAGCAAAAGTTCAGCTGGTTAACAGAATCGAAATTATAAATTAAATTTTTTATCAAATACAAAATAATGTACATATATGTATGTGTATACAAAAAAAATATTTAAAGAAAAAAATACCCTGGTTACATATTATCTAAATATGCCATGATCTTTTCCTGCAGTTCTGTAGAATTTTGTAAATTTCTCAAATTCAATAAAGATTCATTTTCTTCATTACCATTACATAGAACTTCAACATTGATTCCCATATCTTCGGCCACAGTGGTCATTTTTTCAATTGTATTGTCTACTGTTATACCAAGTTGATTTACAAATTCATTAATTACTCCCAACTCGTTTTTTCTGTGAATGAAGCGGTTTGGATATATTTTTCATTGAGAATTCATGATTAATATACACGTCCGGTTAAACAATGGCTAGAATCTTACATATTCGATGTTAATTGTTGAATGGTAAATAAAGTTTTCTGAATTTCAATTTTAATATGTAAATCTTCGTCCTCCGGCTTCATAATTATTGTGTATTATTGTATTAGTGATAACGATCGAATTCACAGCAACAGGTGTAATAAGTCAGATAGCGAGACATTCACTGTAAAAATTGAATCACAGGCAGATCACGTGCTTTAAGAATATAAAATAGATCTGGAAAGGGAAATGAGAAAATTCAAAATTCACCTTATTTTACGGCAGTCAGGTATACTTTTACACTGCTAAGTTTACGTTTACAGCACAGTACATGTACGGAATTATATACTCTATTCATTTCCGCTTTGCGACAGAAACGCTATGGAAAACATTTCCAATTTTAAAATTACTTTATCATTCAAATGTGAAAAATTATTCGATTATTTAAATCTCATTTATGGGAGTATTGTTCTCGCAAAAACGAAATGACTTGACGAAAATGCATACATATGTATAAAATTTCTTTGTTCAACAATGCACAATAAAACATTAGCTAAATATATACATAATACACACATATGTAGATAAAACACCGAGTTATAAATTATATATACGCATGTACAACTTACAACCAGCAACAATTCTTACAAAACGGATGTAAATGATGCTTAAGAAATTACAAACACCGCAGAATGCTGGCTTCCGATTGGTTGTTCCAGTATCTCGGTTACGTTTAGCAAAGCTTTAGATGCGTTTTCACGCGTGCGTGACAAACGGAAATCTACTACAAGTAAATAGATGGTTTCAAGAGAAACATCGCCATCGTTCAAAAATTCGTTGAGAATGAAATTTTGAGACGTTAATCCCGCTTACGTAGAACATTAAGAGAAGCACAACTTGCCAATGGGAACACATAGAAACAGTTGACTGTCGTTTCGCCAATGCATGCAAGTTGACGTCACTTGAAATCGTAACCGCATGAAACAGAACCTTGAAACCGTAAATTATTGTTGAAAAAAGTCATGACACCGAAAACATCGTTCATAGAACGGACTAAACAGACGAAACGTGTTGCGACAACGATGCATGGATCCCCGTGAGCCGTGGAGCCTGCGGACGATCGAGGTTAATCATTAGTTGATACATCAGGCACACCAAATGCTATCGCAGCTTCGACGTAATTTCGTGCATGTGCCTGACTTTTTTATCAGCTGATGTATTCAGTGTCATTCCCTAGAACTGTGTGACTTAAAGTATCGACGAAGGGTTTTCAGTGGTTCGGTCAAGCCGAGTATTGTCATGGCAGATTTCGCGTTGAACGAGCTCAGCGGCGATCAAACTGAGAAAGTTCTGCAGTTCCAGGTGACTCAACTCTTTTCCTTGACCGTTTCCGAAATCACAACAAATCAACATCATTTCAATGTTTCCAGGATTTGACAGGCATTGAAGACCTGTCCATCTGTAGGGATGTTTTGCAGAGACACAACTGGAACTTGGAAGTTGCTGTTCAGGTAAACACCTTTAACCTTGTAGCGTCCAGTTTCACACATCTCTATTTGTCTACTAGAAATTTCATAACAAATCTTACATTGACTAGTGTGCAATACAGAGATTCATTTTTCATTCATTGTCCTCTACCGACTTGATGATGTGTTTTTTTGACCGTTTAGGAACAGCTGAATTTATATGAAGGCAGACCATCTATGTATGCCCAAGACTCACGATCTAGGCCACCACAAGTTGTCGACGATAGCAGTTCTAGAATATATTTTAATTATTCTGGAAGCTCCAGTGGCAGCGGTAGTTATTTATCATACATCTTTTCCCTCTTATATAAAAGAGTGATCAGTATCCTGCAATTAGTTCTTTCAATATTTAGGGGAAACGGTAGACCTGGTGAGTTATAGCTACACAAAAATTAGTTACAGAACTTATTCCAAGTTGATAACACAGATTAAAACTGTACCTATATCTTTTAAGTGACCTCTGACCCAGTGGAAGATGTAATTAACTTCATTCGAGCCTATGAGGAACGTTACGGTAGTAGTCATCCCGTTTGTTACCAAGGCTCTTACAGCCAAGCTCTCTCCGATGCGAAGCAAGAATTAAGATTTTTATTGGTATATTTACATAAAGACGAAGCCCAAGATATTGATCAGTGGTGCAGGTAATTCTCCAAACAGTAAAGCATGAACTTCTTTATAGATATAAATAATACTAAATCTTTTTATACAGGAATACACTAAACAATCCAGAAGTAATTCGATTTATAAATACACGTACTTTATTTTGGGCATGTAACGTGCAATCTGGAGAAGGTTACAAAGTGGCAGAAGCCCTTAGACCTGGTTCTTATCCTTTCCTGGCCATCATCGTTTTAAAAGATAACAGAATGACAATGGTTGGCCGGTATGTAATGTATCATACGCCTTTCAATGCTTTTTAGAAAAATGGTAATAACAATTGAAATTTGTCTATTTTATTGCGTTATAGAATGGAGGGCACGCCATTTCCTTCTGACGTCATATCTCACCTGCAAACCATTATAGATCACAACGAAATTAATTTAATACTAGCACGTCAAGAAAGGTGAGACAAGGATACAAATATATTTGAATTTTGAAAAAATAATTGACTGCGTACTTATATTGTCTTTCGAATGCAGAGCGGAACGCAGTGCGGCACAATCGTTACGCCAGCAACAGGATCAAGCGTATGAGGAGTCATTACGCGCGGATCAAGAGAAGGATCGAAAACGAGAAGAAGAACGAAGAGCGCGCGAAGAGCAAGAGGCTAGAGAAAAAGAGCAATTGAATGCACAAGAATTGGAAATTCAACGTATTCGTCATGAAAAAGAGCTCACTGTTCGCAAAGTACCATTGGAACCAGAATCTAGTAATCCTAATGTGTGTCATCTTCAAATTAAGCTTGGAGAGAGGACTATGAAAAGGCGTTTCCTAATGTCTGACACGATAATGGTAAACTCTACAGGATTCAATCAATTAAAATATCTTTATACGTTAATATTAAATCCATTTAACATTATCGATTTTTTCTTAGGATGTATATCACTGGATTTTTAGTCAACCGGATTCGCCAGCGTGCTTCGAAATAACTACAAGTTTTCCGAAGAGAATTCTGTATCCATCCCTTGAGATCTCAACGTTATCAGCTGCTGGATTAACTCATAGAGAAGTTCTTCATGTTAATGACTTAGATGATTAACCTCTATTGATTATTCAGTGCTGCATTCTTTGTGTTTAAGTATCATTCCGCAGGAAAAATGGTACTGTCGTAAGAGACATTTGTGAAAAAGATGAGGATGTTTGTATATATATATGTATACAAAGAAATATACATATATAAACATGTATTTAGATACACACATACACACACAAAAGGAGTATATATATATTATATATATATATTCATGATACATTCGAGTATTTAATGTGAAGCACAGATCAGCAACAGGAACACAATTATGAAGCAGCTACGCGAATTCTATCGGAACAAATGATCGACGAAAAGAACCGTGTTGTGTCCCAATTTTAGTACAGACGTGTCCGTATCGGTCACAATCATAGTACGTTTCTCACGTACCATGAATGAAAAAACGCTCCACTGAAATACGCATTCAATTAGGAAAGAACAAATCTTGTTCTAAAGAAACAAAAAGAAAGAGAAACTTCTATATAATTTCACTAAAGCTGTACACCAAACATTTCTTATACTCATCTTAATATTTTTTAGCTTAAACGAACTTCTGTAATGAGCTGA